AGTATTTTATTCTGTTGAACACCTCGACTACAATTGCAGTTCGCCAGAATCTTCAATACTAACAATTTATAGAATTATAAAAGAAGACAAGAGGAGAATTCATTTTTGTATTCTATATATTTTAAAATTAATATAGGAAGCCCTTTTTACAAGGTTCATGTGAGCTAAAGGGTTAGACAAAGCTTTGAATGCCAGTTATTGTAACGTGTGTAACGTCTGCAATAACTATCATTCAAACCTTATAACGTTTATAACTACGAACGTTCAGGCTGATTTAAATACAACGCATGCAAAAGGAGCATGCGCTTGTGCACGTGCCAGACCACACGCTCGCACCGCACACCCGCATCCATGGGCGTGCCCGCTTGCTTATATACCAACACAAGTGTACAATCCTAACACGTTTGTTATTAACTCACATTAATTAAACATATTTTAATTTTCATCTATGGAATCCAACCATATAAATGGTATCTTTTCATAAAAATCCTCCATTATTCATTTATATTAACATGTATTAAGCCATATCTGGTGGAACAAATTTTCAGCTTAGAAATTCAAATTTTAAATTTTCATATATAGTATACAAAATATGAATACAATCATTCTTATTAATCTCACTTAACTCATATATATATATATATATATATATAAACTAAAATTTGGGTAGCTTGGACCCACTTGTAATCCAATTAACCACTTGGCAGTTTGGCACACATATAATTGACCCTGTATGTACAAATGCAACCACTCAAGCTCAATGCTCCTTCTCCCTCTCCCTTTCCCATGAAGTTCCAAAGTCTCTCTCTACCATCAGTGTCCCTTCTCTTGCTCTTCTTGCTCATCGCCGGGCAATTCTCCGGCGATTTCGCCTACAGCCGCAGAATTACAAATGGGATGAGGTTGAAGGCTGAGAATGTTGCAGACTCATCTACTTCATTCTACACCAAGGTATCTCCATCACAAAACCAAGCCAACAATGATCTCAAAGCCATCCATGGAGTTTCTCATAGATTGGTTCCTCAAGGACCCAACCCTCTACACAATTGATCAAGATTTTGTACACTACATGCTATAAATTGCCTTATATGTAATTTTGAATGGCTTGAAATAAAGTTTTAGCGAAGTTTGGAGGGGATGGAAGCTAGCTTGTGTTGAGGCTTGGTTTGAACTTGAGCAAGAGAACAAGAGTATAGTAACTGCTTATTAAACGCATGCTTACGCAAAGACTTGTCTCTTGTGAGCAGTTGTCAAGGTCATATTACTGTTTGTAATAGGCTAACCACGGAAAATTTTCTAGTTGCATGATGTGCAAGATTCCTTTAATTCAATTATATATATCTGCAGGTAGTTTAGATAAGACTTTAGCAGTGATGAGCAATGGCAGAACAACGTAATAATGTCCAGCAGTGACACCATTAAATATGTATTTTAACTTACTTTTATTTATATGTGTTGTTTAGGACATCGCTAGAATTAGAATAGGACACCAATAAAGAAGATAAAATTGTAAGATTATCGATTTAGATCCTAAACATAACCGTGATAAGTTATAGGGAGGTGTTACAGTCACACCCCCAACCACACTCCTCTCTCTTTACAGTGCACTGGTGTCCATATGAGATTTTTTTTTCGCTGCAGTGCACTGGGGCCCACATGAGAATTTAAAAAAAAAAATCTCATGTGAGCCCCAGTGCACTGTAACGAGAGAGGAGTATGGTTGGAGGTGTGGTTAGGGAGTGTGCCTCTAGCATCTTCCTAAGTTATATGAGGATAACACTGACACAAAATTCTGTCTATCCCATTGCATTGATTTTGGATATACTTGAAGCGAAGTCCAACGTAAATACAATGTTGAATGAGTGACTGATCTCTTAACACTACTCCCATGAATACTTTTATCTTCCTGGTTAATGTAAAGTTGAACTTTCATATTCAAACCTATACGATTAGGACCAAGTTACGGTACAGTTAATGTAAATCTAATTATAAATTTAGTTACAGGTTTATAGATTAAGTTCTGTTACAGAATCCAACCTGTGTAACAACCTAGCAAAAATAATTATCTTCACAACCAACTACTCAACTAAATGTTGTTAGAGCTCAAACTTTTGATTATGTATCTTAATTAACTTTCTTATTGATTGTAATCCTCTCTTTTTCTTGTCGCGATTGTAATTTACTCTGGAAATGCTAGAAATTTTTTTACTCCAGATTATTTTCTAAGTTCAAATTTTTATTAGACGGTAGGCATACTAATTTACAAGTTTAGAGAGACTTTACATTTGGAAAGATAAACTTAAAAGTTAAATAAATAGAATTTACATTCTATCAAAAGGCAGAACTCAGAAAATTTGTTGTAGTTCTTTTCCTTATCTATTATTTAGAGTATTCATTCACTCACTTCCAAATTTTAAACAAACATAGTTATTTAAATTACCTTTTAGAGTGAGATAAAGAGGGGGCAAATTTTCCTATTTACTCTCAGCAAATTAAGAAAACAACAACTTGTAACCACATTACCATTAAAATAAAGCTTATTATTGTAAACATGTCCTTAGCTTGTCAATGAACACCCTGCAAAACATCAGTGAAGGTCCCTAATCCATTTACCAAATATCATTTGGGTTCTTAATATTTAGAAGTCATCAATGGAGATCTCTAGAATTATCCACGTCATCAGCTTAAGTTTTTTTATACGATTTTTGTTTAGTCTTGTTGACGTGTCAATGATGTGGCATGACAAACTTGTAATTTCATCGATCTTTTGATGATGTGACAGTGATATAGCATGACAAACTTAGAGTTTCACTAACTTTTTTGCTGATACGTTAATGACATGGTGAAATTAACTGAAATCGACAAAATTTAATGGAAGTTTGTATCAGGATATTTGGTAGGATATTTGGTGGTGATATAGGCAACATTAATATGGACTCTCACTAACTATTTTCAAACATTAGAGATCCTTATCATGTTTGACCGATACATCAGACCTCCACTCAACTTTTACATATATACCCTTTACTCTTTATTCCATCAAAGCGAATGGTGGGAGTGCCTTGTTAGTTCTTACCATGATTTCTGAGCTCGTACTGACAGGTGTGACAATAGATTGGGCAGAAATTAGCCCGGACCTAAACTTAGGCCCAGGCCCATTACTCGGGCCTTGAACTCAGAGCATTTGTGGGCTAGCTTGTAGTTAGGGTATAAAGGACTTAATGGGCTTTTCGCTTATAAAGTAACATTTTAAGTTAAATCCTATTCGGTGCTATTCAATAAATATTCAATAATTCTAAAATGAATCACACGAATAAAAGAGTGCATAAATAAATAAACTTAAAGTATCAATTTTTTTATTTTTCATTTTTTATGAAATTATAAAACTTTGATAATTTAATATCTCAAAATAAAATCTTGAAAGAGCTTAACAGTAGTGCCATATTAGGGTCCTTTGGAAAGTCTTGACCAATTTAAAGGTTGAGTACATCCTCCAATGATTTAGAACATCATTTTTATTTCCAGAGGACAAAAAATTAAGATTTTATACCAACGGATTGATTCCGACATACTACCTTACTTATAAGAAATAAAAGCTGAAACTGATATAGCCTCCAAACATTTTTTATCGATGGGTCCATCAATATGTATTTATTTATAGGACATTCAGATTCAGGGCAATGTTAACTAAACCATAAATTTCACAACGTTCATATTATCTTCGTATAAAAAAAAAAAGCTGTTGGCCTTAAATAAAAGCTAATAATTTATAATGACAATTAAACATGACTTTCTTTTTGTAATTAAAATAGTATGGATTTTTTTTACAGTTTAGTGAGTCATTACAATTAAAAAAAAAGTAATTTCACAAAACCCTCCTGAACTTTAAAAGGTGCTGCGCATAACTCTTCTGAACTATATTTGTCGAACAATTTTTCAAAACAACCCCATTTTATTTTTTTATTTTTAAAATCAACCCATTTTTTTATTTACTAAAACCGACCCGTTTTTTACCACGTCAGCCTAATCACCCTCCTAAACAGTCGGGGTTGCCAACCCCTACTATTTAGGACATAAAATTTTAGGGTTTAAGGCTTCTAATTAGGGTTTAACACCCTCCTAAATAATCGGAGTTGGCAATCCCGACTGTTTAGGAGGGTGATTAGGCTGACGTGGTAAAAAACGGGTCGGTTTTGGTAAATAAAAAAATAGGTCGATTAAAAAAAAATAGGACTGTTTTGAAAAATTGTTCTATATTTGTCTCACATAACCCTCCAAATTCGTGACGCTCCACAAAACTCTCTCAAGTGAGGATTGTGATCCTCTCCTAAGGAATAGTGTTTCCTAAGATCTCCTAATGCATCTTAACCATTCATTGCATAGGACCTCTTCGTTTTTTGTGTTCACCCGACTGTTTAGGAGGGTGATTAGGCTGACGTGGTAAAAAACGGGTCGGTTTTGGTAAATAAAAAAATAGGTCGATTAAAAAAAAATAGGACTGTTTTGAAAAATTGTTCTATATTTGTCTCACATAACCCTCCAAATTCGTGACGCTCCACAAAACTCTCTCAAGTGAGGATTGTGATCCTCTCCTAAGGAATAGTGTTTCCTAAGATCTCCTAATGCATCTTAACCATTCATTGCATAGGACCTCTTCGTTTTTTGTGTTCATACACAAAATTAAAGATTGAGATGCATTAGGAGATCTTAGGAAGCACTATTCCTTAGGAGAGGATACTAATCCCTGAAGTGCGGCGGGGTTATGTTCAGCAGCCCAAGATTTCCATGTGACGGGTGTGAAATTAGCTAAAAAATTAATGCAATTAATCTCCTGCAGTTTTTCGTCAACAGAGGCTTATCCGTTACGAGTTCAAAAACCCCAGAAGACCCCTAAAATAAAAGGAAACTCTCAAAAACCCAAGGGCAAACACGACACTATACATCACCGCTTTGCTGCCTGCCGAAACAAGCAGACAAAAGAGAAATAACCTTTTTTTTTCAACGGATTTTAGACGAGAGCTAATTAATACAAAAAAAAAAAAAACCCTAGCTTTTCGATCCCAGGCGTTAAAAATCCCTCTTCCGCCGCGAAAAATTCGAGGACAGGTTCAGTGAACGCGTGCTCATCGTGTTGTTACTTATGCTCCATTCTTCTTCGAGAAGTTTCAGCGGTTTTGATTGGTGAAGGGATCGAGGGAGGTCGCTGAGTTGAAGAAGATGAAGGCAGCGGCGACGGCGGCGGAGGAGAAGAGCCCGGATTGGTTGCCGGAGGGATGGGCGGTGGAGATCAGAGAGGGGGATGACGGGGAGAAGGTTAAGGTAAAGGCTAAGATTGGATCATTTTGTTATTTTGAGTAGGATTCAGTTTCCTGATTTGTTTTAGATTGGATAGGGTTTCTTCATTTGGTCAAAAAGAGGGTGAGAAAACTTTTGATAGATTGTTAATTGTCACTTTTTCAGTATAGCTGAAGCCCTCGATTGGAGTGGATAAGTGTTGGTGAATGGTGAATGATGCAGTTGATCTTTGATGTTAATTTTTGGTCGCTGATTGCTGTTAATCTTTGGTTAAGAAACTTGCTTATCAAAAGATTATATTCTGTTTGGCTTAGAAAAATGATTCTTTAAACGTTTGGGAATAAAAGTCAGCATTTTGAGAGGGAATGTTTATAAAAATGTTTCATGAGATGGTCTCTTTAATAAAAGTATTTTGAGTTTAGATGAGGGAGGCCTTTGAATCTAGGTGTAAGTTAGAAATATGAATTTTTTGAGGCCAAATAGACAATTAAGAAAGAATTTGGGGTCTAATATGACAAAACCCAAGTTTATTTTGGTCTTGTTTTGGGAGGGGAGGTGTGTGGATGAAGTGTTGGTGACTGGTGAATGAAGAAAATTGACCTTTGGTGGTGATTCTGATTTGCTGATAATTACTGCCAAATTTTTGGTTAAGAAATTGTGATTGTAAAAGAATTATTTCGTCCGGATGAGAAAGGAAAAACTGTTTTTTTTTTCTTTCATGTTTGGCAATAAAATTTAGCTTTGCGGGAGGGATTGTTTATAGAAATATTTTAATGTTTAACTCTATTGATGGTTTCCTTAACAGAGAACGATTTGGAGTTTTACCTCTAGTTAATATTTTTAATTGTTTCTCGGAAGTACATATAATGGACAACCTGTTGTCATTAGAGTGTTTCTATGTGATCTTGATGTTAGATCATCAGGAAGAGGAAAGGTACAATCTTCTTATTAGGTTCATGTTGTGCATGGCTTTATGTTTCTGAATTCTCAGGAGGTACTTGCATCCAACAACTAGATATTTCCTTCCACTCACAAAAAAATAAAAATAAAAAAAGGAAAAAAAAGAAAAGGTTGGCTTCTGGTTCATAATAGTTCTCTTTTAATAGTTGAATTTAAATGATTGTTCCTTTTTGTCGGGAGAAGTGTTTGTTTGGAGTCTTAGAGGTGTGCTAGATTCTAGAATGAATGTTTTCTTGCAATTTGTAGAATGTCGACGTAACAAAGTTGTTCATTTCTTTTATTCAAGAACTACTTCAAGTATTTATGAGATATCAGCAAACTCATAAATTGACCTGGCCCTTTGTTTTTACTTGATGTTTAGTTTCTAATCTGACATATTTACATTTGACACAAATAGTGCAAGAGATGGAATGCATATAGTTATATGAATTTGAGATATGATCTCGTTGGTAAATTAGGTAAAGAAGAAAGTAAAGATATTCAGCTCTTTTAATGGCTTGAATGAGCTTTGCTGTTCCCATCCCTCCTCCCCGAACAAAAAACTGCAGGTTCACATTTATGTATGAAACAACAAAACAATCATGTGAACCATGTGACATGTATGATGGGAAAATTTAGAAGTTCAAAGAAAATTTTCTGAGATACCCACAATAATTCTTAATGCTGTGTTCAGATTAGCTGCGTATTCACCATATTGAGTAAGTCCCAAGAAATAGTTGGGAACCTTGGACGACCTATGTAATAGTTATATATGACATTTTTATTTGTTGCTACATAGATACTCCTAACTTGATAAACATAAGTTTCATGTTTCCATGAAAGATTCTAATAAGATTGGTTTGCTTTCGATTTATATAAACCATATACTTTCTATTATTGCTTGTGATATTCACTGTCTTGGAGCAATCCTTTTTCTTGGATTCTCTGAGTATTTGAATTTTCTACAAGGGAAAGGCATTGCTGAGATGCGCTTCGGGAAAAAGTTAATTCAATTGAAGCAAGCGACAATGAAGGGGTTATCTTCATTTCTTTCTTTTTTATTATTGTAAACCAGGCTTATGAAATCCTGGTAACCATATGAAAGTCTAGATTCTTAAACTGCAGAGAATCCTATCTGAAGCAACAAAGCATGTAGCATTGTCAAACTCTAGTTTGTTATATGCAGTATGACACAATGTAAATGCATTTTCAATCAAAATAACGTGATTAGTTCATTTTATCAAATTATTACAAAGCTTGCTTTCCTGACGTATCCTTGATTTATTTTCATGAAGATCAATGTTCATAAAGATTGATTGTGAACAACACTTTTGATAATTACTTGTTGGTAAAAGCAAGCCTATGCATGCATGTGGTAAATCATGATTCTGGAAAAAAAATTTAACAATTTGGATGTTTTTGTATTATTATCCGACTAGTATATTGGCACGTCATCTGCAAATGCATGTGCAAGTTATATTAAACTTTTGTCTAAATAGTTCTTGATATTGCATGTTAATTATGGTTAATGTGTATTTGAGTACTTCTAGTCAAAAAAAAAAGTCCATAACGCACATGATCAAAATAATAAAAATTTATTAAAACGTATGTATATCTTCTATGCGTCTAAAAAGTTATTATTGTATCCTTCATTTTAATGAGAGGAACAAGATCACGCTTAAAATTCATATAATAGTTTATTGAGAATTATTTATAATATGCCATTACCTATCTTACATTGTGTTGCATCTTTATTTTTCAGATTATATGATCTTTACAAAGGTCATGCATGAAATTTTAAATTTAAGAAGGCGATGAACTAAGTTGCATAGAAACGGGCACGAGTACTGGTACGGGTGCGAGTACGGGTAGGGGACACGACAAAACTGTAAAATGTTGGGTACGGGGACACGACTATATATATATAATTTCGATCACATTTTTGAGTTTATTTTATCATATTGATTATCGTGAATTGTAAACTACTCATTTTTTATTAGACATCTAAACGACCCATTAACTATGTAGTTTTGAACTTGGGTATGGACTGAAACGAACCCGACCCGTATCCCATTAGTTTCAAAAGACGGATGTAAAGTGTAAGCTCTACGTCCAGGAAGTCTTTGACAAGTGTTTTAAATTAACACATATATCGTATTGAGTACATGTTGTAATAAATGCATGCATATATTCAAGAAGTGCCCATGTAGTTTGGGTACGGGAACGTGTCGGGTACGGGTACGGCTTCAATGATGAAGTACCCGGGTAACATAGGCGATGGAGGAATGAAAGTAATGGAACCTTCTAGAGAGGAGAGCGAAATTTAAAATTTGAAAAAGAAATGGAGGAATTGAAAATTGAAAGTAATGTAACCTTCTGGGGGGGGGGGATGGAAATTTGAAAAAGAAATGGAGGAATTGAAAATTGAAAGTAATGTAACCTTCTGGGGGGGGGGGGATGGAATCCACATCAATCATATGTTGATAAATGACCAAATTGCCCTCAACCTTTACTAAAATGACAATCTAATCTTTGACAAATTGAAGAACTACTTACCTATTCCTCCAAATATGACCCCCACTATATTTTTTATTGAGTAGTGTAGGTGTATATTTTGTGATGGTGCTGATGGTTGCTGACTCTTGGGTGTGCAAATTTACGTTACTGATCACACATTCACATTTATTTTATTCATTTTGAATCAATTTGAAAGAGAAACTTATTTTGGATTTTTCTTAAGAAGAACTTTAGGTACTATGAATTGATTTAAGTACCATGAGGAATCACCTAGGGTAATCAAGCCTCTTGGGGAATTAAATGGGTCTTAAACATATGTTGAGAAGTGAATTAACCAAAGCTTAATATTTTAGGTACCGGGCACGATTTTATATTTAAATCTATCATACTTACTAATATGTGAGATTATACGCACATATGAATTCCCAACTTTCCCCTTTATTTGTGAGTATAGCTAAATCATCCATGTAAAACAATATATTCTCAAATAGCAATTTTAGATGTTATACATCATCAATGTATTCATTGACTTTGGTCTAAACTCGTAACTACGGATACAATGACAGGCTACCAACATCTGTTGGACCTTGCACTATGTGTGGACTAACCATGCCTTAGTAACCCTGACTTGGTTAAACTGACATCCATGGAACACTTGGAATGCTAACACTCGTAGAATCCTCCTCTATGTATGGGTGACTAGGCATTTTGGTGGGTTATCTAGATCCATCACTCTTCTGACACCATCAAACTTCACTTTGGTCTTTGCAGGCTTATTTCATTGCAAATGGAAGCATAGAGCCATACAACCATCCAATCCGCAAAGATGGAAGAAACTGAAAACATAGGAAAAGAGAAGTTTTTTTTTTTATTTGGGGGGGGGGGGGGTAAGAAGCCTTCTAGTAGATTTTATGATCGGATGACCTCATAAATATGCTTATCAGGATAGTGGACATTCTCACACGATTTATAGGAACCTACATGACTGCTAAGTCTGACACAATAGTCATTATTACCTATTTTGGTAAGAAATATGATGTTTTATTGTTCCATCTTAATTTGGAATCATATGGTTCAAGTTCCTTCCAATGTCTCCTTACTAAATTTATCTTTGTGCTCAATTTACATGAGACAATCCTATCTATCATTCTCCCCTTCTCGTAGATCTCCCAATTCTCTTTTGTCCACAATTCTCTTTGAAGTTTTTTCCTACCTAAGATAGGGTGCCTCACATTTATACTGTTTTTTAAAAAAATGGGTCAAATATTCATAGAACCTTGTCTATAGCCATTCCGATCTTTTTGAAGAAAGACTTAGTTCCTCACGCGATGATCGTCTTATGTGAGATATCTACCTTAAATGAACCCTATTCATAAATTGCAAAACTCTTCTCTTTTTGTTCACCATAGGCTTGCCATTTTCAAGTGTTCGGGAGTGTATACACTTCAAAGCAAAGGACTTACTCATGCCCAGCATGTCTCTTACTTCGTACCTTCACGACACATGCTTGGCACTCGTTGTATTTTAGGATGTTGTTGGTTCTAAAAGAATATTGTGTTGTAACCCCGTTGCATTTATGCAAAAATTCCTAAAGATTGCATTTTTGAACATTGAAGGCCAATGTCCTAAATTGCATGGATATGGGTACGAGTATAGATACATGTATGAGACATGGAAATTTTTTTAAGGGTAGGGTACGGGGACATGGTTGAAGGGACATGGTTAACTTATGGGCCGGAATCATAGTTCTGGATGAGATATGCAAACGACCCTTTTAAATCGTAGCTTTGAAATATGTGGGCTAAATCGAAACCAGCTCTTGTCCAAGAAGTTTCAGAAAGTGGACATGAGGTCAAGGAGCATATGGTTGGTGTTTTGAGTTAAAACATGTATTGTATCATTGAGTACACGTCTGAATAAATGTATGCCTATATTCAGTGTCTAAGAACTGTTGGTCTTGGGTACACGTTGATACTTAAACGTCTCAATGAATGTATGCCTATATTCAATGAGTGTATAAGAAGCATTGGTCTTGGTACGGGTGGATATGGGTACAAGATGTGTTGAGTACAGTTACGGCTTCATGATAGAAGTGTCGATGTGTTACCTTCACGAAGTATATGTTGTAACTAGCAAAATAGACTGTTCAAGCTCTTTAATACCCATGATTGTGGTATAAGTGATTTTTAGACTAAATTATTGTAATCTATCATGTTTAATAAAGATGACTACATATTGTACTCTTTTTGTGAGTACACTAAATTTTTAATTTTAAATAGCTTATGTTTGTGTACAAAAAGATTTACATGACTTAGTCCTGATGAACTTTAGTGAACACTCTGGATATTAAGTATGTCATAGTAAACAGAAATCTTTCAAATATTTCAGTAGTGTGACAGCGGCACTTCTAAACAGTGTGTATATGTTTTTATCTTGTAATGTTACACTTCTCCTGCATGTGAACACACATTTTTATTTCAGTAGTGTGAGAGCAGCACTTCTAAACAGTCTGTATTTTTTTATTTTGTAGTGTTATATATCTCCTGTGCCTGAACACACGTTTTATTCAAAGCAAGAGGTTTTGCATCATCATGGAGTTACAAAGGTTGATGGTCATACATCTGATGCAGCACCCATTTCTAAACATAACGAGATGGATGTAAGCTTTATCCCATAAAATTGTGCTCTCTCTCTCTCTCTCTTCTCTCTCTTTTCTCTCTTCTCTCTCTGTTTATCTATCTCAAATTTAAGCACTCTATTATATCTTAGGTGGCGCCGCAGGTGAGAAATTCACCAGAATGGTTACCACATGGATGGATTCTGGAAATTAGAGCTCGACAGACTGGTGATAAAGCGGGACAGAAGTATAAGGTATTACTTGATCTTTCTATTTATTTAATTTTAGCTGATAACCAGACTAATGTATATATCTTTATTTCCGGAGGCCATTGTTAGTTTTCGTCATTCATCATACTTATTTTTCGTATATTTCAAATTGGAAATAGGTTATCTTAGACGAGAGTTCCTTTCAGAAAAGGCAAGATGACACGAGACCACCTTCAACTTCTAATAGAAAGTTAACATAAGTGTTGTTTAGGATTTAACTGCAATTCCATCATTAATGGCTCACTTAGAAATCCTTTCATCAGTCAAACATTCACACATTTGCGCTGCAATAAACAGTTTGCTTGATTTTGCATTTTAATTAATACTCAGTGGGCAGAATCTAGCATATAGAAGGCATCTTAGTTATTGTTTTTCTTTTCTATAAAAGAAATCGAGGCAGCATATCAAAGTTAATCTGGTACAGATTGGTTATGTTATATTTGGCGGAAGTCAAAGGTAATTCTATAATATCAACCTATTCTTAGTGCTTTGTTAGCTTACTTTTCATCAAATCAATTCTGGATGCTTTATTTACTTGTATGAAGGATTTGGAATCAATTTTTTTCCTCCTTGTAGGTCTTCATTTATTAATGCACCTGATACACTAAGCAACCAATTTTTGGATTTGCAGGAAAGGAAATCAATTTTTTGTGAAACAGTGGACTGAAACTAGTAAGGCAACATTTGCATAAATCCTGTAAATGGGAGAAGCAGGCCTTAAGATGTTCAAACTTAACTGAATTATTGGGAGGCTTATGCTAAAACTAGCTACTGGCTTGTTTTTTCTAGAAAAGTTAAATCATACAAACTTGCACAATGAAAGAAAAGTTAAGAAAAAGAATCAGAAAGGGAATAATAAAGAGAATTTTCTGAATTGCTTGTAAGACTTTATATGTATCGGAAGTTATTCAGGTGAAAGGTGTTTGGTGTTTGCTAGTGTTAGCTGGAAACCTCCTTTTTTCCTACAAAACTTTGCTGTGTTGCTGTGTCGGTCACTCTGTTACGAACGACACTTGGATACATATGTGGCTATATCCCATTACTTAGACATGGCTCTTGTAAAGAAAAAAAGCTAGAGTATTGTTTGCAACAGGATCCATAACGGAAGAATTGACACAAAGAGTTTTAAGCAGTGTGATGTTTTCTTCTCCAGTGTTATCCATTACGCTTCTTTATTATGGCATGGCATCTGAAGAAAGTGTTACAGAAAGCTTATTGCTCAGTGCCTCAGTTAAGGATGGGATTGACTATGTAAGTGTAACAAGCATATTTAAAGAGAGGCTGTTGCTCCACTGACTATGGGATGATTATATGTATGTTAATAAATATACATGCAAGTAGACATGATCCTGTATCCTACTTTCTAAAAACTCGTTTCTGACAGTTGATAGTTGCATGTTTGACATTCACACACCTGACACCCATATCCGATGTCTGGCACTGGCAGTCGCCTTTAGTAAAGCTGAATGGGAAAAAAGAAACATGTTGTTGATCACATAAAATTTGAATAAAGACTTTACTGTTGTTGTCTATGCATTAAAATGATAAAGCTCTGAGTTTGAATTTATAGACATTTTATAGACATTTTTTAGCATTAATCCATTTTATGAACTTGTTTTCCCAATGTTTTTCCTGTCAAGCCACGTTGACATTTCACTTTGAAGTTCGTAAGATTATAATCTACATGATAAATGTGCATATAATCATATTTTAGTGACGAGAATGTGCAGGCAGTTAGAAGGCGTAAATATGTGACAACTTACCACCCGCGGGTGGCCTCGTGGCTAGCAGCCCCATGGGGAGCGACTCGGCTCCTAGGGCCTCGTGCCCATGCTAGTCTCGAGTTCGATTCCCGTCAGCGATTCACCTGTTGTCCACGCTCTAAGGGTGGGGTAGAGACCGGGGTTTTACCTTGTTGGTACCCCAGCCTGGTAGATAGGGGTCCGGTTGGGTCGTCTTGGTCCACACACTGCTCGCCCTGTGCAAGTGGGTCGCGTTGGTCCTGGCACGTGGGGATGAGCCCCTAATATTTGGGCGAAGCTCCTTGCAGTTGTGGGGGGATCGGGGGGACTCGACCTGTGGTCTCCGCCAGACCCAAAAGTGGGGCGCTGGAGTGCTAACCGGGGTTCCCTCGTTACCAAAAAAATATATATATATATATATGTGACAACTTCTACTCTACTAGTTTGCTCACTTCTCCCTTGAAATATGTTGAGACTCCAGTACAGTGCGTTTGACCACTGGTGCTTCTTTCCTTTTTTCCTTTCTTGCAGAGTTACTTTGATCCCTTTTCTGGATCCCGATTCTATTCTAAGGCAGAGGCACTTCGGTTTCTCAAGTCAAGAGACCCATGTACTCCTACATCCGGAGAGAAAAACCGCTTTAAAGCAAACACGCCAGATAATGTCTGCACTTAGTCAAATCTTCTGCATTCATTTCTTTTTATTGTTTATTATGTTCACGTACTCCTTATGAGATGGAAATTTCTGATTATTCATTTTTATCACTAGGTCATTTCTCAAATTGAGTATTCCCCGGATGGGTTGCCTCATGGTTGGATTAAAGAAACAGTGTTCAGAAAATCTAAGAGCAGGAGTACGGGAATAAAAAAAGACCCGGTATTATTCGTTACAACCTCTGTTTTCTTTCTTGCTTTATAATTTCAGTTTCTTAAATAATTTATAAGGGAAATTAGTTTAACAATTCACTTGATAAATTCCAAATTTGTTCTTTAGTCATGACTTTACAAATTTTGTTAGTTTTAAAGAATGTCATTTGATTTCTATTGCAGGTACCTTCATATTCTTAACGTATATTTTTCACTACTAATGTACACACCACCATTGATGACAATATCTTTTTTGGCTACGCCAAAGAAAGTAGCTAGTTCTACCATTAATGATTTTCCTTTGATTTTTGTGCAAAAGTTCCAAAGAACGTTGCCATCCCATGTAAGCAAATCCCTAGTTGGCAAGGTAAAAATCTGTGGAAGTATATAATGCTACCTCTTAAATTAGTCAGTCAAGAGTTGCACTGGAAGTGGAAGTTTTATATAAGTCAACATGCTGATTTTGGAGGGAGGCAATGTTCTATATACATAACCCACCAATTCCCACATGCATGCATGTACACCAGTACTCACATTTATTCAAATATGAACTTGGATCTGTTGTATTTCGTGTTTGACACACATTTAAGGCTATACTTAGTTCAACATTATCAGTATGTTAGAATTCAACAAACTATGTGTCGTTAGAAAAAAACAGGTATATTTGGAGGATTATGCATGAAAGGAGACGCATTTTTTATTTCTGTCATAAAACATACAAGGATTAATGAGAGTGATTATCTAGATTCATTGTCTCACTGTACTAGGAACATTTAACCACATAACTGGGACTTGGTTGCGGTATTGATTGGAGGGTGTTGCTATGAGCCTATGAGTCTAGATTCACTAAATTGGGAATGTTTTACTGTATAATCAAAACTTAATTCTTGATCCAAATAAAGTTACTGAATAAATCTATGATGGATTAATTAAGCAGAATATCAAAACAACTTGAACTCTTAAGTACTCTAAATCTGTCAAAATAATATTATATGAGATATGAATTGAATTGACCTAGTGATTATGAGCAGTCACATGCAATATTGTTATACAATTCATCAAATGTACTAATGTACATGCATGCAAGTTCTGCTAGGTGTCAATTGCGGACTAATCATTCGTTGGCAATGCCGATGTATTCTTGCCGCATTTGCACTAATGTAAAAATCAACGTGTTTTATAACACAATAACGCGTTTCTTCACGAAATTTGGGTTTCACATTACAGATCATATGGGAAATATGTCGAGGTTTTGTGACACAATATTTTTTTAATGAATAACATGCTTTAGATGTCACGCCTGAGCCCGCTTGCGTGAGGTAAGCTCTGGGACGCACTAAGTGCAACATGTTTTTGCCAAAGATGCCTAGCTAATGTTGCACTTGCTCCCATGGCAACTATTTAAACCCTTCTATATCTAGGCAAATATGATATGTGGGATTATTTGGGGCATCACAATCACCACACCTTTAATAGGTGATGTCCTTATCGGGATATGACAGATTGGTCCATCTAGCATCAGCACCAGATGATATAGATTCTAGAGATGGTTCCTACGGGTTCTATAGGCGGTTCTCACTACGCTCACACGATGTATCACTTAGCCCACATAACACTTAGTTCCACACTTCGTACTGGATAACTCCTCTAATACTATTTAGTATGCTTCGAGTCTGCGAGCTTCTTGAAGTGATATAAGCTTTGGGACTCCTTGAGTACATGTTTCTGGGCGTAACTACTGCTAAAAGTGACTGAGCCAATGTTGCGCTTATTCTTGTGACATAATTATTTAAACATATCTATATACCAACATATATAAGACGTGTGATTATTTAGGGTATCACGTTACGATAATAGAAAACACTGTGTTACAAAGCTCTTTCCGTAACACATGTTATTATGCTTTACGAAAAGACTTTTCCCTGTTGTTTTAATCGTAAAATCCCTTTCTCGCCCTTAAAAAACCGATCAATCTGCAATCTCAATCCCTTGTGCATTTCGTCTGCCCTCACTCCCTTGCAAACCCTAGCTCTGTGAAAATCAATGCCAACGAGGCAATCAAAGCCGACACCGACAAAGCTGATGATGAGGACGATGAAGACTAGAAGCTCACAAAGAGAAGGATCAACATCATTGTAGATGGGGACGACATTAAGGAAAAACAACGATGATGATGACTTGATTTTGCGTCCTTCATGATGTTAAATGCCATATTTCTTGTCGATAACATCGACACGATCGGACGTCAGTAAAAAAGAGATTTGTTGGCTAACAAAGATTGTTGACTTTAGGCAACAACTGAGGACTCCAGTGAAGTTAGTATTGTCATTTTGGATTAATTATATCACATTCTTAGTTAATTATGATTGAAATTCGAGGTTGAGTTACAATATCATTTTTTTCTTGTTAATTATTACTGTTTTATGCTTGATTTTGATTGATTTTGTGAAGTTAATTAGAATTGATATATGAAATTATGTTCGCCATCACTGATTCATGCCAATTCTATTGATAAATTGATAACTGGATTTTTTTGATATTGTTCATTTTTTTGTAAATAGATAATTTGAATTGTGGTTTTGTTCGAATTTGTTTAAAATTATATCTAAAAATGTTAGATCATTTGGGAGAGTATGACATTTGAAGGAAGAGAACCTCTAATATCTTTATTGAAAGTGTGGTAATCATTACATGGCAATGGGTGTAACAAGGCTAAAACATCACTTGGTGACTAGTCGGAAAGAGATTAATAAACATGATAAAGTTACAAAGATTGTGAAAATATCTTATGTGGATTCTCTTAAAGAAATAACGGTAAGCCACATTGGCTTGGTACATTAGGAGGATGGAAGATCTAAGAATAGAAAATATTGCAAGCTAAGTGATAGTACATGTACATGAGAGCAATAGCCTGCCCATGAGTCGTTCATTTAGTCCATTTGAGCAATTTGTCAATCTTTAAGGTCAATAAACAAAGAAGTAGAATGCAAGGTCGTGGCAAGGAAGACCGGTCAATGTATATTTGTTGTTGAAGTGTTCTCATTCAATATCTTCGAGATATCTTCGAGAGAGATGGTAGAGGATATTATGAAGTTGGAAGAGGGAGAGTAAAGGATATTGGGAAGTTATGGTCCATGTTGAAGCAACCTTCTTTCTATGATATTAGGACACAAGTTGTTGAAGCAACCTTCTTTCTATGATATTAGGACACAAGTCTGGAAGATGATGGAGGATGTTATTAAGTTATGGAGGATATTAGAGAGAGATGTTGGAGGATGTTATGAAGTTTGGAGAGAGATAACATATGATATTGGAAAGTTTGGGAAGTTAGGTCTATGTCGAAGCAACTTTTCCTTATGATATAAGGACATGGGTATTGAAGAATGAGATGAAAGGGATAGATACAACAAAGGCAACCCATAAGGAGGCTTAGAAAAAATACGAGTTCCTCTTATGTCGGATGAGTTGTTAGACAAGAAAAATAAGAGCTTGTTTAACTTTTTTGTGAACTTGTCAAAATAGACTTTTTCTATAAGTTGATTTATGCCACTGTATTTATTAAGATCATCAACTTTCCTTTTCATTGTCTTGACAACATAGTGAAGGAGATTGGGGAGCAAAATGCTTAATAAATCATCATTGATAATCATGCATTTGGTGTGAAATGCTTGAGCGAAACTATGGATACAAGTTGATTTATTGGACATCATATGCAACACATTGTATAGAACTCTTATGTTGGAGGATATTGAGAAGATGAAGATATATCATATATCATTATACTCATAAACAGCAATACAGGTGTTATAATTTATACGTAATCATTGTTGGCTCTTGAGTTTGATGAAGAAGTACATAAGTGGGAAGGATCTATTGAGGCCCGCATTACTCGCTTCGCCACTTCCTTCCTAGCATTATAGAGGTTTATTTTAAAGAACATGTTCTCTTTTGATGAGTTCCTCAGTGGAAGCTGAGCAAAGAAGCTGAATGAAGTGAAGGCGAGAACAATCCTTTAATCTAGATCATTTTGGAGTGAAACAATTTTTTTCACCATTACTATTCTACTAGTTTATGTTGCCTCTTCACCATTACTATTCTACTAGTTTATGTTGCCTCTATGCCATTTTTCGATGAGATGATGCACAATGCAAGGAGAAGATTGCGAAGAAGGTGTTTTGTGGGATAAAAAAAGCTAAATGGCTTGTAATCTAATATATAGAGATTGTGGGGTTGTGACATCGACTAATGCAGCTATTTACTATCTTAATTCCAAATATTCTATAGGAAAGGATTTTAGCAAACATCTGAAGGCAAAGAAAAGACTCACTGAGAGCATAGCATGAATGATCCTGACATTAGCTAGAGAGCACAAGCTGATGTTGAAATAGTTCTTATAAGAAGAGGACATGAAAGTTTGGATCTGAGTTAGCTCAGAGGACCTGCTTTCTGTAGTCTAGTCCATGTATTAATTTATGCAATTTTTATTTTAAAGTTTAATTGAACAATTTTGGTGTTTTGTAATGTTAATTTCAATATCTAAATATATAGCTTCTTGGTGAGAAAGTTGGCGAGGATACGTACACTATAGCAATTTGTAATTTGTTCCCCTCGCTGGTGCATCCGGATGCAACTACAATTGGAGCATTTTTCGAGCAAGTAAGAAAAACTTTAATTTTAAAAGTTAGCTTAATATCACAAAAGCTTGTAAGTTGTCATTCATTTATGAAGGTCAACTAAAAGAAGAGATATCATCTGGAGCAGGAAAACCTTTGTTCTCTTGTCTATGTCATGCGCAACACTAAATTATAGGAGAAACATGCGAAGGAAGGTGCGAAAAATGAATTCAATCTTGTTAGAGAAGATGCCTACCGATGATGAGTGGATAGTAGAGGAGGAGACTTGTCACCCAAACGATCCGACTTGGCTCCAATGTTATGGAGATTGGGAGTATGTCAATGTTGTTGCGATTAATAATCTAGTTATTATGAAGAAGACAAGAAAGACTATCGGCAAAGAAACGAAGAGCATAGTTCTTGTAAAATTTTTAGAAAGTTCCGATATTATTTGAATGAGTCTGAGAGATTTAAGCTAATGTTATTCTCACAACATCAAAAAGGTAAGGGGATAGCCGTTGAATATGTAGGCGCTGAGGATTATATCGAGCCTGAGGATGCAAACATCATTCTAGAGGTGTATGATTTAAGCTTCATTTAGTTGCTTTAGAGTTATTGAATAGAGTGATGGGTTTACATGGGTACTGTATTTTTTCATATGATTTATTAGAACTTGAGACTTACTGTAGTGTTTTTCTTGGTGTTATGTTTCAAATGTATTAATGACCGAATGACTGTTAAGAATAAATGCATATGACTTATTTTTGTTGAGAGTTTGTGATGATATGTCTGATAGTTGTGATGTTGTGTTTAAAAATCGTGATGATCCTATTTATTAAAATATTTTGAATGTTTGTGCTATTTAACATTAAATGAATAATAAACTACATAACCTATGTTAGGCGTTACAATTTTTTGCATTTTACATTATGAAAGGCGAGCAAGTTACGAGTTATTGTTATTTTCGATATTGATTTGCGCTCACACATGCATACAACGTGCAAACTGGCATGCTTAGTTGAAGTAAAAGCACTAACTTAAAACATAATATGTACTTACACACGAAGGTCACACATACAACCCACGATATAACCACTTATTTCGGTTTTTGTATGTGCACTAGCATGTACTATGTACTATGTACATGGTTATGTTGATGAATCATTTAGCTAATTTCCAAAAGCTTATGTTGAAAATGGTTCCTACAGAGATGAAAAATTGTTAGTATCAAGTATGTTGGTTTTGGTTATCCATAGATATAAATACACATGCCTACTATTTTCAAATTGATTTCGAGTAGCAGCCATGTTCTTTTGCTAGCTGGTAGCGTACTTGCCATGGTATTCCTTTTAAGTTCTTTTACAACATTTCTAATCCATAAGAAATGAAATTTAGTAGTTTGTGTTCTCTATTTCTATGCATGTTAGTCCCTCTAAAGTAAGTACTCTAATCCATCCAAGAAGTGCTTTGTTTTTATGAACATCTAAAGATCCAATTTAAATGGCATGTGAATTTTGAAGGATGTAAATGGGCAATCACATGGAAATATGTCAGGCATGTGCGAGGCACATGCTTGACCAAGCAAGTAATATTCTTGCTCGAGATTAGATATACAATTAAAATTGAAATCATGTTCATCCCTTATTTCATTAGATAAATCAAAATAACTTTGATCCATAGAAGATAGAGATATCATGAAATTATAACTTATAAGGTAATCTTATGACCAAACATCCAATTGAGTGTTATGTTAAAAATCAAATAAGGAAACATTGAAAAAGATCAAGCACTTTAGAGATTTCACTACATGCTTATGGAAAAAAAATCTAGCTCCCTGACCTCTTGGAGATAGTTAATAGATAAGTTCGAAGCCCAAGCCCCATTTGAATATATGTTGCATATTATCCTTTAATGCATATAACACTTCCTTTAATCTTCTTCCCCTTTTATTAATATCTAGCAGAATCTTTGTTGGAGTAGCTCTTACTTTGAGTAGTCGTTCTTATGTTAGGTCGAGAATCTGATCTAATTTCACGTTTGCTCCACTTGGAAGTATAGATGTACTTTTTTGGCAGATGAAGTTACTTCTTGCAAATTCATAAATTATACATTATTGTTTGGCATATCATAAGTTTAATCAATGCTTTGCATCAATGCTTTGCATACATCAGAAGCTTTTGGATGCTAACATCTAGTAAGTAGGTGCACATATGCACAAGACTTTCTTCTACCATTTCTGACTATCATATGCTTATCTCAATTTCTTGATTAATTTTCTTTATTTACCCTTTATATCTATTACTATTTCTCAGGAATTATCTTGTTCGATAGTTGCATATGCACCTTACATTTACTCTACATCTTTCTTTGTGTCTTCATAGTATGACTTTAAGTTATAGCTTTATCCAAGATACGGTTGAACTAATATACATGTTTGTTACAGTATTACACCGATCCAATCAGCGGGTATGTATTTCGCTCCTTTAAGGAGGCCAAGCAATATGTGAAAACTGGGAAGCCCGGTAAATATGCAATTGGACCTAGGAAAAGCAGTGCAAAGGGATTGTATTCCTTAGAAAAGAAATCCCCTGTAAGTTTACATTTCTGCTTATCTAGCTACTTGTTTCATTATTTGTCGGTCACATAAAAGGTTACGATGTTGCTCTTTTGCTATTGATATCTTTTAGCTGTACTTATTTGATTATTTGTCGGTTGCATAAAAGCGTACAATGTTACTCTTTTGTTATTGATCTCTTTTAGCTTTACTTGTAAATTATCTATACTACTCTTGAAGAACAAAATGAGAGCAAAAAACTATGTAGGAATGGTGAAAAGTTCCTCTTTTCCATAGTCGTCTTTCTGGGAAAAAATATTATTTGTTAAGGGTAGATTGGTAATTTGGATGGAAAAGATGTTTTGTTCATTTCATCCTCATTAAATGCATCTACTCACTTCTCTCTCTTTCTCAAAAATAAAGAAAAATAAAACTTATAATTCCTTTTCAACTAAGTTTGCAGAACATAAAATTTACAACTAATCTACAAATTAGATCTCCGATATTATAGATTATATAAATAAAAGTTGAGGGGGGTGGCCTAGAAGTATGGCAAAGCCATGTCGCTCCCTTGTGGGGGGGGCCTAGGTTTGATAGAAAAAATAAAAAATAAAAAATAAAAATAAAAGTAGAAATAAAAATGAGATTAAAAGTGCTAAAATACTTAAATTAATATTAATTATTGAAATACAAAAATCTAAAAATAGTTGTAATAGTTAAGGTCATTAAGACGAATTATAGAAAATTGAATTTAAGGAAATATTTTCTACATTTATAACTCCAATAAAATCATGATATTTATATTTCTAAATATGTCGGTCAATATTACTTATTTTTATAGAATATTTTATATTAAATTGTTATTTTTATGGAATATTTTATATTAATTTCTATTGTCACGTACATTATGCGCGTGCAATTTAGCTAGTATACCTAAAATCTCTCTAGTATAGGTAAACATTTAGGGTAAATTACACTTAAATACCCTATTGTTTCCTCAATATTGCTTCAAATACCCTAAATTTAAAACCCTGCACTTAAATACCCTAGAGTTTCAAAAAGTTGCTCTTTAATACCCTAATTAAGGTACCAAAGTGCAACTTTTTAGAAACTTCAAATGTAGGGTTTTAAAGTTAGGGTCTATGTTACCCGGGTACTTCTAACCTGAAGCCGTACCGGTACTCGATATGTACCCGTACCCATATCTAGACTCCTTGGAGACTCCTTGCATTTATGCATACATTTAATCGGGCATGTACTCAATTATACAATTCATTTTTTAATTTAAAACACTTGTCATACATTTTTGGGACGTATATCCTACACATCCACTGCTTGAAACTCATTGGATCTAGGTCAGCTTTTGAATTATATGATTTGAAGGGTCGCTTGGATGTCTAGTTCAAAAACTAGTGATTTTCAATTTATAATTTATATAATAAAAGAAACAAAAAATTTTTATTGGAATTTTAATTATCATTCTTGTTCTCATATAAATTATTAAATCCAATATATAATATGTGTAGATAAATATTTGTATAGTTGTGTCCCCCTACCTTACATTTTACAAATTTGTCATGTCCCCTACCCGCACCTCTACCTGTATATATGCAACATAGGTTAGGGTGTTCTGGTGCAATATCGGACAATAGTAGGGTATTTAAGTGTAATTTTCCAAACATTTATATTTATTATCTCTATTAATTTAGTACATCTTAGCACGCTTACCTCTCAGCATATTATAACTTTGTTTTGTAGCTGTCATGTATGTAGTCATGTTATTTGATTGGGAATCACTAGAAAGGTGCTCGTGCCTGCACATATATTTTAGAATGAAATTTTTAGCGTACCACCTGATATTTTTTTCTACCATCGTGCCTTATTAGTTTAGTTAAATTCAAGATAATGTTGTATCTGAATTTATGATAAATTTATTTTAATGTTGTACCTTCACTGGCATATGTAAAATTTTAGAGGTGGCTCCAGTGTATGTTACAGATAGGTATATCTATACAGATACAGGTGCACTCCATTGTGCAGCATCTTATTACTGTTAAAGATAAAGGCTTTTGGGTATCAAGTTCAAACAGGAGCAATTTTTTTTTCTAATTGACAATCTATATAAGAAAAGAAACAAATAAACATAAAATTGTTGTTGGAATTTTAATTTTCATACCATGTGAATGAAAAAACAATATGGGTCTCGTGTAAATTATATTAATTTTTGTATATTAGTATTGGTAGATAGCGTTTTTCCCGTACCCTACCTTTATATTTACCATGTCCTGCACTAGTACTGCACCCGTACCTGCACCCTTGTTGGTGTAACTTAGGTGCCAATGTTTAGTCAGCGCAATATTGATTTTATGTTTCACAAGGTGTTTATTGTTGCCTTTTGCTCCAATTTAATTTTTCATTCAATGTTTTCATCACAGCCTTCTGTTCCAGCCAAAGAAGTGAAATCACAGGCACGTACAGTGCACTGCCTTTCTAAAGAAGAGGCCTCAGCATCAAATGGAGAGAGCACAATTGAGATCAACGAATCGCATGGAGAAGAAAAACCAAAACAAACCAGATCAACAAGGAACAGCTTCAAACCTGAGAATGACAAGCAGAGGGGGGAATTACTCGAAAGGCCATCACATGAAAATGGGATGATAGAGATCAAATCACAAGGAGAAGAAAAACCTAAGCAAAGCAGACTAACCAGAAACAGATCAAAACTTCAGAACGAAAAGAAGAGTGAGGAATTACTCGGAAAGCCGCCAAATGAGTCCTCAAAATCAAATGAAAAGGGGACAACAGAGACCAACAAATCACAACAAGAAGAAAAACCAAAGCGGGGCAGACCACCTAATAAGAGGCCCAGACCTGAAAATGAAAAAGAGAGTGAGGAGTTACTCGAAAAGCCAGTAAATGGGTCAATAGAGATCAATGAAACACAAGAAGAAGAAAAACCAAAGCAAAGCACACCATTTAATAAAAAGTCCAAATCAGAGAAGAAAAAGGAACCAACAAGGCCTGAAACCATTGAGTTAGTACACCAGCAAAGCACACCATTTAATAACCAAGGTCTGGAGAATCATTCTCAGCGGGCCAACGAAATAACACCAGTTACTAAAGAAAGGAAGCTGAGAAAAAGCAAAGGAGCATCAATTGCCGTGCCTCGACGATCATCAAAAAGGTTGGCGGGGTTGGACCCCACTCCTACAACTGAGTTAGTAATATCCAATAGAGACCATAATAATGAAACCAAAGAGCCAGTTCCTTCAGCTGAGCCTGAAACAACAAACACTATAGAAGCAGCTTCTCAAAGAGAGCAGCAGGTTTTGATACCTTCAACAGAGCCTGGAACAATAAACACTGTAGAAGAAGCTTCTCACAGAGAAGAAGTTCCGCAAACAGAACAAACTTCTTCGTTCGCTTTACCTTTTGTTAATGCTTGGGATGATCCATGCATAGAGTTTGCTGTTAAAACTCTTATGGGTGAGATCCCACTGTTGGATGAAGGGCTTGCCATTGAAGAGTACTTCCAGAAGCAGCGAAGCACAGCAGAAGCGTCAATAATGCCCTCGACTTCTAATAACCAAGGTTTGGACACTGGAAAGCTAGTTGGCCCTGAAGAGCTACCAAAAGAGCTGCATTTTTCTGTTAATAATGATGAGGGTAAGTCATGTTCATTGGAGAATGGAATGCCTTCAAAATCAAATGCAGAGGCATCCAGAGTTAGAGGTTAGAGGGTTTCGTCATTGAGAAGATAAACCTTTGTTGTGAAGTATAGAAGAGCAATTTGCCCCTTTTTAATTTGGTTATATTTTGTCTAATTTCAGTTGGGAGACTCTTGGGGAAATAGTTTTCTTGTTGAAGTGTTTATGGTTAAGTTTATGATGCCTTCAAATGCAGAGGCATCCAGGGTTAGAGTTTTAGAGGGTTTGGACAGTCAGAAGGTATATACCCAGCTTTTAGTTTGTTATGAAGTATAGTAGAGCAATTTACCCCTTTTTGCTGTAATTTTGTCTAATTTCAGTTGGGAGACTCTTGGGGAAATTGTTTAGTTGTTGAACTGTTTATGGTTAGTTTAAAATGGAAGGTTAATTTTTGTGGATTTGCCATGCATATGGTTTCTAATCGTTAATTCACTTTTTCCTTTTTAGTCTCATTTTAAAGATTTTTCTTTTCTTGTTATTTTGGATTGTAAAAAAATGCAGGTAGTGTTGTTTCTTATTTACTTGCCTTTTTTTCCAATTTCTGTAAATGTTGCACATGTAAGAGGATCATGTGCCTTCTAAGTGAAGGATTGTGTATAATTTTCTTGTAAAATCTAATAGAGCAGATCGTGCTAAGTAGTAAAATGATGTTAAATTAAATGAGGGGCAAAACTTTGCCACCGCTAAATGTTCATTAACAAGAAAATTTAATAGAGCAGATTGTGCTAAGTAGTAAAATGATGTTAAATTAGGGGCAAAACTTTGCCACCGCTAAATGTTCATTAGCACATGTATATTTGGAGCTTGACATGGGAAGCAATGAGACGAGCTGATACTTGGAAGGCCATTTACATCAGTTAGAAAGCATCATTTTAATCTAATTGAAAACATCATGAGAGTTCATCTTCTCAAAATCAATGTGGCAATATAAAACCAAAGAAAACAATTAATACTAAAGAAAATTCATGTTGGACACTTCATCCATGGTTCTTATTTTTTTCACCAAGCCTGCTCAGTTTTCAGGATATTTTAAAAGCTTATAGATGATATTTCAAGAAGACTGACTTGCTGAAAGCATATGAATAAGAGAATGCAGATAATATTTACGAGAAAAGTTGAGAGAGGGATGGTAACAGTCATAGTTATAGTAATCCCCGATAACAAGGTTATATGAGAAAATACGGAGATGAGAGAAGGCATACACTTTAAATGCAGGCATCAAAAGAACTTATCACGAACAATGCACCAGCAGAATAGAACAAAATTGAAGGTTCTTTAGAACAAGGAACTTCATGTAATAGGTAAACAACCTCATACAAACATAAGAAACACACTGCTAAGCCAAACATAGACCTCCCAGCCTAAAATTAATTGGTTGTAAATTACTAATGGCTGTCAGCTTAGTACCAATAAGCCACAGTTGGACCCACAAGTCAAATAAGCAAATATCCATTCAACAAAAAGATATGAAACATGACGACGCAACTAGATCAAGCATCTGATAACATCACACAAGGGTTCAAAGACTAAATTAAGCTACACTTCCATGTTCAATCAAATGATGTTCCAAGAGAGACTTCTGTTTGCTCAAGACGATTCTCCCCATCCACCATAGTCCTCTCCCTCACCTTTGTCCTCCTGTTAGTTTGCCAGCAAGGAGAGTATGAGACAATGTACTTGCATAAGCAGACAACAGTTTTTCTGATATTTTTATCAGTCATGCATGTTTCTCCACTGATTTGGACTCAAAAAACCTTTTAAGGTGAAAAAATTAATAAATGAGGATCTAAGGCGATAAATGAAAGAAAGTGAAAAAGATGCATTTTCTGATGATTCATGCCTAGAGAATAGATATTTATCATGGCTTTACTGCACGTCAAGGGTTCATGTGCCATGTGATCTATCAAGTTCCAAATTTTACATCATTATAGACTAAGGTTCAATATTATGTTGCTTGTGAATGAGAGTATTAACAGGTTAAGCCCACTGCCCCTACCAACCTTTCTGATTCTTTTCAGCTAACTTTAGGAGAAATCATCATAATTCTTCATATAAAAAGTATGCATATCCAGTGCACATCAATTCCAGCTGGAACCAGTGCACATTAATTCTAGCTTATTGTTGGGTATTGACTAATAATAGTACAGAATTTTCAATCAGAGTTCTCAAGGAAGCAGGAGAAATATAGTTTACAACCGACCTTTGAGTGTTTAGGAAGTTGTCGATGTTTTGCTTGAAAAAGGTTGGTTTAACAGCGTAATTTGTTTAAGAAACATTATATATCCTAATTTGAGTAACTAATTTATTTAGGGGGACATATTTAATGATATCAAACTTTGAGGAACTTCTTTTTCAAAATACATGAGACTGGGGATAATCTCTCAAAAACCCTTTACTATTTAGAAGTGCATTAAAAGTTTCATCCGGTACAGTAGTATACCGCAGGAGTGAAAGTAAGTGCAACTTTGATTTCTCCGCGATATTCCTGATCCTTAACCACGTTGTATACTGTTGGAGGGAGACTTCCTTCCATAAACAATGGTTCTAAGCAAATCCTGCAAAAACACAAGGAAACAAGTTTAAAGCTCCAGCTCGAAACATTATATGGACCCATTTGACAAAACGGATGATATATGTATGAAATAAAAGTTTCTCTAAGCAGTGCCAACTCAGTTACTCAAGTAACTACTTATCAGTTTATACAGCAATTCTGTTTTCACCATGTCATTCTAAAGCTGATTGAACCTCATGCAATGAAAAACTTACATTGCTTCCCTACAAGATCATCCTCTGAAAGAGTGTCACTGTCCATGAGCTTGATAGTTATCTCTGGAACGTTATCAGATACAGTGAACACGAAGGTCTCATTCCATTCAGGATTACACCCTTTCCCTACATAATTACTTAATGATACCGCATTTAAAATTGAAGCTAATATTGCGGAATAGAGAACTGATAGCAAATATCATTTTGTAGATGCCTTGCTCAATGAAATTTTTGGACTTTGTGCACTAGCAAGTAGCAACAATGCCCACCAGATAAAATATAAACCATGTCATGTACGATTAATTCAGTTTTTCTCATCGAGTGCTATGAATAGACTAGACTATTCCATATTTCTCATTTCCAGTAATTCTGCACCATCCTGTAATGGGGATTTGTCAACCATAATCACACACAATAGCCAAAGGTCTACTTCAAGTACTACAGATGGTCTCATGTTATGGCAGATGATGGGCTACAACTTATCACTAACTAAAAAACATAATTCAAGTAAGTAACCATGACTACTAAACTAGTCTAGTTACTCTTTCCATTAAAACTGAAACTAAACAGGAATAACTCAAGCATACAGAAATTACTCTGTAGAGCTTCAATCATCCACATGTCAACTTGATCCATTAAAAGAATATGTTGAACAGAGCGAGCGAGCGACAGAGAAGGCAATCAACATACTCCTACTAAGTAACCAAATTATGCAGCAAACAATAGGCAACAACTGCTTAGACTCATCAGTAGGTCCGTGAGGGGAAAACACACATATAACACTTTCATTGAGAATTGTGCATGTTCAGGCTCATCAGTAGGTCACTTGGCCAGAAAAGAAAAATATATATAACACTTCCATCAAGAATCATTCATGTAGGACACATGCAAACAGATTATCATTTTCTTACTTCAAACTTAAGAACCATATTAAGGGACTTGACTACACATTTTGTTTAAAATCTATAAAGAGGTTTAATACTTCATTCACCACTAAGTTTGTTTTGGAAGCAGTGCATTACTTTTCTCCACAATCTACTTGGATGCAAATTCAAGGTAAGAAAGATGCTGTACTCTACTTTCAGAGGTACATAAACTCCCAAATCCATATTGATATTCATTATCGAAGTCAACAAGCTTGTCCTCTTACAAATAATTAAGCTATCAAGTAATATCATTTCTATTATGAAACAAAGAACAAATAATAATATAAGATCAATTCCATATCAGCTTATTCGTAAAACCATGTTCCTTAAGCCAAATGTCAAGTTGCTCAATCAGTTGGCTGGCCGAATTTAAACATACACCATGTGACAAAGTTAAAGCTAATATGAGTTCAAGCAGTAACTAACATGATCAAAGAGGACTCGGAAACATCCATCTGAGCTTATTACAATGGTCAAAATTATTTTCCCTAGTGATAACTGGTACGTCAAAAACCCATTTCCTTTTCCTGGATGAAACTCTAATGAAAAACTTGTAGAAATTGCAATTCGTATTTCAGTTTATACTTTTTAGTGCCTAGGAATTTTCCATCTCTTACCTTTATTTCCCTCTTAAATAATCATCTTTCTATTTTTTTAATCATAATCCTAAGTTTCATCATGTGGCTGTCAATCAAGGACAAAGGCCTATACAATGAGAAACTACCACACTGCTTCTAGAGAAAAATAAAAACAACTGCACTAGCTCAATTATATGATAGAATTGCACTGACAGAGTATTACTACAAACTTCTACCCAATGATAAATTACTAGTTACAATTCAGAAATTTAAACAGAAACACACTTTTAAATATATAATTAAGTAAAACTGTCAAACCAACGGTGAATCTAAAAGAGAAGAGTTTATCTAAGAGTATTTCATGTTATGATAATGCAGGGCGCAGATGGTATACCTGTAGCAGTACTGCTCCTCTGTTCTTGTGTACGGCAAGTAAGGATAGCATAAGGATCCATACCTCCTGCTTGGTCAACGCAATAACAACTTATTAAACATGATACGAAGCAACGGGCATGAGTAGCGAAGGCAAGGGAAAATACATGCATTTTGCTTCCAAACACAGGACTTCAAAAGTAAGCCACCATTTAAAATATTTAACTAAAAAAATTTTATGCCAAAAGGGAATAGATCCTTGGAAAATACCTTACTCGGATGGAGAATAACTTTGTTCAATTTAATCCCATTTCTTAAAAGACAATCAATATACTACATTGAGCACGTAATACTCGTGCATCAAGTGGCTGCAAAAATTAACGGTTTCCCACGATACAACTAAAGAGCCCTCTTGGAGCATGAGTTAGGCTAATCCTGTTCAGCTCACCGTGATCGGTGTATCTTAAAACACGCATAACGGTATAAGTGTACATTTTGATGTTTCACGATTTCTAGCTTATATTGGTGCTAACCCAATTAATACTTCAGTTGATCATTTAGACTAATTCGACATTCTACCTTCATTCCTTAAAACGGATTTCCACACGCACACAAAGAAGTGGATCTATAAGAGTATAGTTTCAATTCAAGTGCATGCGTCTCTGCGTGAGAGAGGAAGGGAATCAAATCTCAAGAATATTTTCACCAATCCCCTGTCAAGCTTAACATTTATACAAAAACCCTAAAAATAACCAAAACAATATAATTAAACCCTCAAGAAAAGAAATTTCTCAAGATTTCCGCGCCATAAATTTTGTGCCGATGATCAGCATAGAAGACTACACACGACTAAGAAGTTCTACAAAAGGCAGATGAAATCAATGAAAGGAATTACCAACTAAATCATCAACAAAAAAAAAAACCCGTCAAATTCAAATCAAGAACCCAGATTATCAATTCAATTCAAGTTTCAACAAAAAATCATCAAGAAATTAGTCACCGAAAAAGTCGGCGTCCTCGAGGCCTTTGGCTCCGACGAGAAGGACCTGAAGCGTTCCGCGAACCATCGCCTCTCCGCTTCGATTCCGATCGATCGATCGATCGAAGGAAAAACCTAAAGTCTCCTCCTATTATTATATATTATAATAATAATAATAATGAGGGAGATGAAGCGGTCACCAAATAATGCATGATTCTAATTAATTAATTAATTAATGAACAGTTTGAAGAATTAGGGAAGTAATAATAATAACAAATTATTGTTTTGGGGGGGTGGGGGGGGGGGGGGTACGTTACGATCCTTGTTGAAACAGCTGAAAATGTTTTGTTGTCTTTCCGCCATTAGCGGGTGTTTAGTCTTCTCCTTCCTCGTGCTTTAAGATGACAACAAGGTATCATTTTCTTTAGTTGGGGGCCGCATATGATGACTCCTCTATTGGTGGAAATGAACTAAATAATTAGCAAATAGATAGATAACTGTTCGATTGAGATATATTTGACTCCCTAGTTCATTAGCCGCTAAATAAATATATTTTTGTATTCGAGTTTATTAACAAATAGAATTGAGCTGGACGTATATTCGATTCGATTTTCTATTAAATATTAATTTAAATTTTGATCACTTATTATTTGTATTATTGTATTTATACTGTCGTATTTTTTTTAACTCACTTATCATATCTATTTAAGTTTTATGTATTGATTTTAAAATATTTTATTTATATCTTAATCTATCCTAATCATAATCATATCTTATCCTAATCCTATGTGAACCATGTTTAGCTTAACAATTTAAAAAACTAATATTAATAAAATATATAAAACATAAAAATGATATTAGTTTGTTAAGATAAAGAAATTACAAGTAGATAACATATTATAATACATGAAGTTTTGCAAAAAAAAACCATACAAAGTTTTAAAATTGCAGAAAAGACCCTGAAAAGTTTAAAATTATAAAACTCATCCAAATGTCTCAAAACTTAAAATAAAAAACATGAAATCAAAAAATTAACATCAGTTTGCAAAGAATTTAAAATTTACAGTTAACACCTCAATGTCTCAAAAATTATATAAACACCCTCAAAAGTTTAAATTATAGACAAACACATTAAAATTCTAAAATTTTAAAACTTACAAACAACATAGATGAATTCAAGAGATTACCATGATACACCTAAAATTTTTGATATTTAAATTTAAAATTTTTAATTAACACCCTCAATATCTCAAAAATTATAGAAACGCCTTCAAAAGTTCAAATTATAAAAAGCCACCCTAAAATTCTAAAATTTGTAAATAAAATAAGATGAATTCAAGATATTACTTTTAGACACCTAAAAATTAAAATTTGCCAAAATTGACCTCAAAATTTTTAAAAAACTCCTTCAAAATTTAAAAATCGTAAAAAAAACTCTAAATTTTAAAATTTTTTAACTATCACACATCAAATTCATCGATTGGTAGACCGCTAAAATTTAATATTTTTCAAAATTAATCTATAGTTTTAATAATTACAAAAGACACTCTCAAAATTTTAGAGTTACAAGAAATATACTAACATTTAAAAAATTACCATTAACACATGAAACATAGAATTTATAACTACCAAACTTAAAAATTAATTTTTTTAAAAACTCTTTCAAAATTTTAAAAATTATAAATCACACCCTCAAAGTTCAAAACCACAAAAATGGGCTAAAATTTTAAAACTTGGCAAAGAAAAGTATAATTGTTTGGTATTTTTCATATATATATATATATATATTAAAATTTCTAATTTAGGGATTTACTATCCATTTTCAGCATCTAAGAATAGTCTAAGTTGATACTGGTAAACAAAAACAATAAGAATTGATTAAAAACATCCGGTTAATGGATAAAATTTTTAAAAATATTATAGATTAAAAATTATCGGCACTATATAAATTAAAGTAATTTCATATAATTTTAGTAATAAGTTGGGGTAGCCAAAATACATTCGTAACATTAATTGATAGATGTTTAAATCCATAGAAATGATAAAACACTATAATATTATACCTTAGCATTAATTGATTTTAATTTAGAAACTTTAATCTTTGACGTTAATAATATTTATAGGGTAAAAGAATACAAGGAATTACATATGGAGAAACTATTAGAATATTTAGAGATAACTTTAAAAGAATTGAGTTATTTCCATTGCAAATGGGAAAGTGATGGAAATAAATCTAAAATTCAGAAAACGTCAATGAATCACTTGAATTGGCATTAACATAAGACATATCTATTAATGAAGCACTGAATGAGTTACATTAAAAAATAATTTAATAACTTTATCCTAATCAAAGAAAAAATCTCCATGGAAGACATAAGAAAAATTAGTAAGTATTCATAAATTCCATACTGTGTTCTTCAAATTAAATATTAATATTATAATCTAAGAGAAATTGGTAATGAATAATGCAGGTATTTAGTTTAGATCTTTATGGAAAATGACAGGGATAGAGCAAAGGTAATATTATTGAAATAACAGAAATTCTTATTGGATGCACATCAGAAGAATTCATTTTAGAGGAAAATAAAGAGATAGCTTCTAATTTATTTAAGTAATAAATTAGGAACACAAAGAATTTTATATATATGAAATTAATATTTATTCTCATTGAAATAGAAAAAAAATCAAAGTCTATATTTTGAGCAGTTTGTGTTGAACATCATAAGTACATTTGACTTCTTTGTAAAGTTAAATGAGATGATAAAAAATTAACGAGCCTAGGAAAGATAATAGCATAAAAAATACAAAATTAGCCTGATGTCATAATTGATGTAGATGATGAAGACAATACTCTAGAATTATCCGAGAAATGATAAATGATAAACCTGAAGAATAATTGATCTTAACTTAATAAAAAATAAAATAGAAGAAATCAAAACAATATTTTATGAATATTTTATAGAATAGTTTAATTATTTTGAGTGAAATTAGGAATCTTTAGAAGGGAGTTTCATAAAATTTTTTCAGTACTTTTATATTCTTATGTGGATGTTTTTATCATATAAAAGTATACTAGAGTTAGCATTAATCTTTAATTTATATTTTTTATGAAGTTTATCAATGATTAGGAATAAACTTCATATTTTCTTTTGCATCGTTTTAACATACTTTAAATCAATCATTTTGCTATATTGGTTTTAAATATTCACCTTCCTTGTATAACACTATTTTAATATTTTTTACTTTGCAATGCTATACTTTCTCAAATAAAGCTTAGTTTCATATCGGTCAAAAATAATATGAAAATTCAAATTATTTTTAAATTATTTTTTTTGTCAATTCAAATATCAACATGAAAATTTAAATTGGGTGTATCCCATTTAAACAAACATAAAAAAATAATCGAGATGTAAGAGTTTAAAGAAAAAAATGAGCACAAACTGCAAAAAATACTTAATCATGGTATTAAATCACGTGCATTGCACGTGTGTAAAAACTAGTATATTACAAAAGAATAACTTTCATTTATGAGTTTAAATACTATTTAAAAATCAAATCCTTTAGCCGAATAAATGTACTTTGACATTTGATAAATGTTAGCGAATATTCATCAATATTTATCAAATATCACGTATTCAAGTTCAAATTTGAAAACCTCCGGATATGAATATTAGCGTTCACAATCGAATTCGATAATTTTAAACAGATACAAATATGAATTCCTTAGTATTCGATTCGATATGATCATTTACCACCCCTACTTCTCTCGACTTATTTTATTTGCATATATATACTAGTTAATCATGAATATTGGTAAAAATACCCTCTAAATCTCAGTATTTGCAAAACTAACCTTCAAATCATTAATTTTGGAAAAAATTACTCTCAAAGCAATTAATCAACAACTTTGATAAGCTAATTTATAATCGCTATATAAAAAAAATATCAACAAAATAGTTAAATTTTTAGCACTAAGTTGATCAGTTTTTTATTTTAAGGATATTTTTCACAAAGTTGATGATTTGAGAGATAATTTTGCCAACACTAAGAGTTAGAGGATATTTTTACAAATACCCATAATTTAAGAGGTATATATGACCCATAATTTAAGAGGTATATATGAAAATAACCCATGAAAATAGATGCATGCAATAGTTTGGAATTTGCAATTTTGAAATTCTGTAAATTGCATTTAATAGTTTAGAATCTGTTTTTCATTTGTTCTGTTACGGTCTGCACCCGTGGCAAGTGAAGGTCCTGGAGGGCCTGGATGCATGTTTGAGCTTGTAACATAAATGTAATTTTTCAAAGTAAAAAAAATGATGTTGTAATCATCTAAATGAGTTGAGACTTCAAGAGATTGGTTAATTGACAGCAAATACAGATATTATAATTGTAGTCGAAAATATTATGATGTTACAATTGCATTATGTTACTGTAGGCTGTAGCTAATGACTTGTGCAAATTTAGACACAAGGTGCTGCAGTAATCTTTGTTAAGCTGCGAGCAGGGGGTTTAAACTTTGATTCCATCTACCAACAACCACAATAGAAATTTGAAAATCTTGATACCTCAAGAGCAGGGACGGGGTCAGAAATATTATATTTGGGGGCATATTAAGTGCATTCTCATTATTTTTTAAATGAGATTAAACTAAATTAAACTAGTATCTTGACACAACGCGGAAGTAAAACCTCGGAATCCACCAAGGGGGTTCTCTGAATCCACAAAGAACAATCTCCGAATCCACGAAGAAAATATTGAAAGAGAAATTTTATTGATAAAACAAGTTGTTAATTTTTTGGGTTACATGTCTCTTCTTAAATAAAAAATAAATAAGACTCCTAGTAAGACTAGAATTAAAAAAAAGTATCAAATTCTATCATAGAAAAACTCCCTATAATAAAGGAAGCAAATCATGAATTAAAATTAAATTTTTTTCCTAATCTAAATTGACTCTAAAATTGAATTTATTTCCTAATCTAAATAAACTCCAACTTTATTACTAAAAATAAACCAAAGGCTGATTATTTTCAGATTTCAGTCAAAACTGGGTATAACTGATGAGATTTTAAAAATCTAACAAACGAATTGGCTCCGTCTCGTCGAGATAGGTGATTTACATATATAATATGTTAGAATCCGCCTTCTGGGTTGAAAAATATGATCATTTCTTTGAGGAGGTCAATAATACGTAAAATCTGTATTTAGCTCGTGATTGTCTACATCCCCCATGAAATTATCAGTTAAGCGTCCTACATCAGTCTCCCATTGTTAAAAGAAGCTCGACCTCGAGCTTATATTTGCTTGAATAGTAACTTCATCGATAAATATCTTGCTTAACCTGCATCGATCAGCATCCGCCTTATACTTAGCATTGATTTTCTCCATTTGTTCTTTTACGTTCTCGGGTAGGGCTTCTTCTGAATCAAATTCATATATTATTCTTTTCCGACATCATGTGTATTTTATTGGCGACATGTGGATGTGCAATTGACTTTAAAAACTCCACAAAATATGTCCCATGTTGCTTCTCGTATTCTAGTGCTTGAAGTATTATCAAATTCTTTTTAAAATTATTCACAAACTTTGCTTCTAGGGAAGAAAATCCCGCGTCATGCTCTTTACACAATTCTTTCATCTCCTTTGTCTCTAGCTCTCCACAAAGCAATTCACACATATCATCAATTGTCTCACTCTCTAATTTATCATTCTCCTCCATCGGGACAACATCAATATATGTAATATCACTCTCAACCCCTTTGAGAATATCATGCATATCATCCATCTTCACTATCATATCACCATAATAAATCTCATGCGTAACGATTGTTTGCACCTTAGGAGAAATTTCGGTAGGGGCAGGTTCTTCTTTTTTAGTTACAACCAAGTCATAGACCTCTTCAGATTGCTTCAAGTTTTCTGCTAAAGCCTTGTTGTTTGCCACCAAATATTTCTTCTCCTTAGTAGCTTTTATCTTAGATGGCTTCTTTTCTGTAAGAGGCAGAAGTACAATTCAGCTTCCATCTTTCTTGAAGATATAAACATTGTCTCTACTTCTGTGGGTAGCTCCAATATCGAATTGTCATGGCTTACCTAAAAACATATGACACGTATCCATCTCGACCACATCACACAACACATCATCAAAATTCCTATGACCGATAGAAAAAGGTACACGACACATATCATCGTTCTGCACATCATTGCCCTTGTGAATCCAGTTGATCTTGTAGAGAGGTGGGTATTTTACTGTCTTCAAACCTAACTTATTCACCATACGTCGAGAGATAAGATTCTTTCTACTGTGATTATTAATAATAACATCACAAATATTCTGCATCACAGTGCACATCGTGCGTAAGATATTATGCTCTGGAGGTGATTCTTCTTTCTTTATTGCTTCTTTAGTGCTCTTTCCAACTCCAAGGTCTTGCTTAGGGTCATTGTCACTGTTAAATTCATCATGTGGAGTCGAATCACGTCGCTGGAGACCATCAACACGATTTCGAACTCCTCTCGTGTTCAGATGCTCCACTGCTGACGCAAGTCACTCTATGGCAGTCTTTATCTAATTAACACCGGTCTTCAGCACGTTGAACTCAGTTCGAGAAATAGGGGCTTCATCACTTGCCATCGGATCAGAGGAACAAGGTACTGATACCAATTGACGCAACACAGATGTAAAAACCTCGAAATCCACCAAGGGGACGTTCTCTGAATCCATAAAGAACAATCTCCAACTGCACGAAGAAAATATTGAAAGAGAAATTTTATTGATAAAACAAGTTGTTGTTTTTTGGGTTACATGTCTCTTCTTAAAAAGAAAAACAAATAAGACACCTAGTAAGACTAGAATTACAAAAAATAGAAAGTATCAAATTCTATCCTAAAAAGATTCCCTATAATAAAGGAAACAAATCATGAATCAAAATTGAATTTGTTTCCTAATCTAAATTGACTCTAAAATTAAATTTATTTCCTAATCTAAATAAACACCAACTTTATTACTAAAAATAAACCAAAGGCTGATTATTTTCAGATTTCAGCCAAAACTGGGTATAACTGATGAGATTTTAAAAATCTAACAAACTAATTGGCTCCGTCTCGTCGAGATAGGTGATTTACATATATAATATGTTAGAATCCGTCTTCTGGGTTGAAAAATATGATCATTTCTTTGAGGAGGTCAATAATACGTAAAATCTGTATTTAGCTCGTGATTGTCTACATCCCCCATGAAATTATCAGTTAAGCGTCCTACATCATATCTTAACTTGTCAAATACTATCACCAAATTGTGGAAAGACCCTGTGTACTTTTATTGTTGCAGATAAACCCTCTAAGTGAATTTTTTTTGACTCTTGTACACTCAATTGATTTATATTGCTCAAAAGAACAAGTTTCTCTTCCTCTGACGGTAAAAGAGCAAAAAATATTTACTCAGGGATCTGTCTGCGATAATAGAATTGTAGGGGTAATGCCTACAGTTTAGCGATAGTATAAAGGTCTCTCTGCAAGTAGCCCATGGTGGTAGCTCAACTGTACATTTGGGCCTATACACGTTGGGCCTCTAAATTTTTGAATAATTAATTTGTAGGGTGGCCATCTTAGAGCTTTGTGAAGCAGCCCAAGGCTCGCAATACACGTATAAAACCTATGAGAGCTTTTTTTTTTCCCTTCAGTTTTTGTATGCGCTTGATTTTTAGTTTTTTTGCGATAGAAAAATTCTAAATTGAATTAAATATTACAACTGTATACGATAGTAGTTACATGACATTTCACAACACAATACCAGCGACATTGAATACTGAATAAACATATAAATAACAACATTTATTCATTTATTTATTTTTTAATCAAAGATAATTAGAGAGTTAGCAGCATTTGGTCAATAAGTCGCTTAGAAAACAATAGTAAAAAGTAAACACAATTTATATAATAGTTCATAGTAATTAACTAAAAAGTTAAGAAAAAGCTTATTGTAATTCACTGAAACTACATGAGAATTCATAGCCCAAAAGGAAATTATCCTAAACGAGAGCAGACACTATTTTGTCATACGATAAATCACAAGGGCCTATTAGCAAAAAGGGCAACAAAACAAACAAATCAATACCAGATGGCGGGAAAATTCAGTGTTTTCCCGCGCTTTCTAAGATCTCACCCTCGCCCCCTCTCTCTCTTAAAAAAAAAAGGGGAAATCCTCCAAATCCAATTGCGGGAAATTAAGCCGATCAAACATCAAAATGCAAATTCGAGTCAAGTGCGGTTGCGACGCGGAGACCTGCCCTGAGTGGGCCATCGTCGAGCTTCAGGGCGTCGTCGAATCTCAGCCTTCCGTCGGCGACCGGATCCAGAACCTTGAGATCGGACGGCTCTGCTGCACTCCTCAGGCAAGCCCAACCCTGTCCCAGCTGATCATTTTTTTAATTAATGCGATAAATTTTTTACAGTCTGATCTATAAAGTTATTCTGATTGGGGTTAATTTGGACCGGTTGTTTCAGGGGAGCTATACGTTCACCGTCGGCTACCATGAGTTGTCAGGGACGAAAATGCCCCTAAAGAAGCCGGTGCTGGTTCTGAAGAAGAGGAAGGTTTCGGACGGTGATTCGGTGGATTGTTCGAGGGCAGAATTGGAAGTTGTCGGAATTATTCGGCACAGGATTCTGTTCAAGAACCGGCCTAAAGCTCTCATATCAAGTATATTATATTTACTTCCAGCATTAATGTTAATTTTAGCATTTTTTTTTTTGAGATTATTAAATAAATTGTTGTTGTTTTGATTTGCAGAACCACAAATCAAGGAGAAGAAACCTGTGCTGCAATCGACTTGAATTTTTGGCGGAGTTTGGATTGTTAATATACGTTAGTTATTATTCGCCAACTAATATGAAGTTTAGCTACTCAAAGTTTTTGTCATGAAAACCTGAAGTTTATGGCAATTTTATGTGATATATTTTGTGAAGAGTTGGATAATTCAGGTTTTTTTTCCTTCTTTTTCTTGTGTGGAGCATAAACTAATTGTTTGGTTAGATGGAAATGGAGTTAACAAATGTACGCTTCAACCAAACTTATATTTCATGGGGTGTTGCTACTGGCACGGACCCCAAATAGGGGATTCTGCATGGGACAGGTGAGGTGTTGCCTTTCTGTCCTGTGCTGCACTGTTCATGAATAGTGCATCACGGGATAGGGAGGCGACACCTCACCTGTCCCACTAAGGGTCCCTTATTTTGGGGTACCTAAGGCATTTTGCTTTCTCATGTTCGGTTTGCTAAGCTGTAATCAGGCGGATGCAAGTGCCATTTAAAATTTGTAGGGGAAAAATTTGCCAGCTTGTCTACATTTGGCAATGAATGTATCCTCCTTATTCCCCTACGTAGTACTGAGACTTTCTATATTAAGTCTCCTAGTATCAATAAATAAATGTAATTAGGCACTAAGCAATAATCAATCAATGAAGAAAATTTTCTTCAGTCTCTGCATGCTTGGTGCTCATATGGAGAGAGCTTTTTGTACGAGACACAAAGCAACAACTTTTGGGAGATGTTACACACTAATCATAAGTGACAGTTGTCGGCCCACGATTGGTCGGCCTCTTGAGTCGTCCAGTTCTGGTAGTGCCTGCGTCATTTATTCTTATATTTGATAAATTGATGGCCTAATCTATGTCACTCAGTGTGAGTTTTCTGCATTTGGAGCACCTAAAAGGATTAACTCTCTTTAATCATTTAATTTATTGATTACTAGCATTTGAAAATCCTTTAAATTTTCGCTTTAATGGATCTAACTAATTAATCTGTATACATCATTCACAGAAATTAAACAACGGGGAAGGAAAAAGAACAATTTCAAGTGCATCTTTTAGCTCACTCCCCCATTATCACCTTCATCACTATCACCATCTTCTCTCTCACTTCTCTCACCACCACAATGCTTCTCTTTTTCTTCTTTCTTCTCTTCGTAAGTACTCGACTGTTGTAGCCCTAAATGCTTCAAGACCGGGCTCGTATCAATTTTTTTTCTGTTTCCTATTCTCTGCATTCCCTCAGAGGCGTAGTCGCCTCTCGAAGTTCCAGAAGCTGAAGGCAGCTGTTTCAGGCTTCTCTCTTTGGTCCAAAACCTGTCAGTGATTGTTTTGTCCAAAGATTCCGATGATCTGAAACCTTTAGATTTGTAGAAATTATTTCCGTATCTGTCGTCTATCCATTTCTTCTCCTTTCCTCGATTATTAGGCCAAGCGGTGTGCCTAGTCCAAGTTCTAGAGGTTGAAGATCGAGGTTGGTTTCTGCTGAGTATGCCTCTGATTGAATATTTGGATGAATGAAGAGTAGGCTTGCTGGTCCTTGACCTGTCGAGATCATGATCAATCCTTGAATGGGGACAAACTTCTACAAAGAGAAGTTTATGTTAGTCATTGCATTTTATGTCCACTTGAAGAATGCTTGAAACATGGAATATGAATATGTAAACACTATTGAAAAGATTCTAGTATAACACAAGAAGGGTGAATTGCAGTTAACCCCCCTCATCTATACCTCCAGTTGCGTAAACCCTCTCAACTCATTTACTAGAACTTACCATCCTTGTAATGTCATTTTCAGAAAGGTAAATTGCATGTAACATCCCTCTCCCTCATGAATTCAAGGGGACTAGGTGTTATAAATGAGCTGAAGGGGGTTTAGTGCAACTGAAAGTATAGCTAAAGGGGGTTATGTGTAATATACCCTAATGAGTATAGCAGGGGAAAAAAACATGGAAATCATCAAGATAAGAAGCAATTAGTGAATCTTAAGATAATCCAACAAAGATAACTGATCATTTCCCAAAGGGGAAAAAAATTAACAAAAAACATTTGATCATTACTTCCTAAAGGAGAAAAAAATTTGATCATCACCTTCAGTTCTCTTTCTATTATTACTCATCCCAATTTCTCCAGTTTTGACCTCTTGGTCATCAGACCCAGATGAATGTCCAGTTAAAGGTTCTGAATTGGAACATTGAGGTAGATACCTCCTCGGTATGCATCTCCTTGATAGTGATTGAAATGGCGATTCTGGCAGTCGAAAAGGAGGCTTGGTGGTTCCTGAGGTGTAAGGATCAAGATCAATCTCTAAATGTCATAGAAAATTTGCAATAAAAGCATCACAGATTAATAAACTTATACAGGGTTTGTGTACATGCTGTCTTAAAACAAACATGAAACAGTCAAAACCAATTCATAATTTATATGCTAAAAATTACATAAACAAAGTAGTAACTAGTACGTACACTGCAGCTGTTTAATCTACTTAACAATCTCTATAAACATGTTCTTTAACAGCTTGTTAAGATCGATTTCGAAATATAACAAACTATTTAATCCTTGTAAATTCAGATATATCTTTTCAGCTCACTGCTAATACCTTTATTAGTATAACCGCCTTCTTTCTCAGTCCTCGGCCTTTCTGTGCCCTTAACTGCTTCAGCATAATATTTTTTGTGAACCTTATTGAAGCCATTGTTGTCATCTCTATTTCTGTCAACAATATGCTTAGTTGAAGTCACAGAGGCTGAAGATGATGGTTTCAGGAAGGCCTTTTTATCGCCACTACTCTCATGCCTATTTCCCTTTGCCTCCCGCTCAGCAAGCTCAGCAATTTTCCGAGTTGGAACTCCAGAGGGCGAAGATGGTGGTTGATCTCTCCTGATTATATTTTTAGTTGCTGATTCTGAAAGAAAAAAATATGATCAGATTAGTCAATGGATGAAAAATAAGTTGCAGCATAAAGCCACTAAATCTGAAGTTGCCATGACGTTCATTGTGTTTTTCTCGCCATTTCGATAAGATTTGATATTTTAAATGTGAAATTGTAGACACAAATCATTACTCAGATAAACACCTGGATCATGAAGAAGATCGGAAATACTTGACCCTTTCGTAAGGAAGAGAAGGTTAAATTAACATCTCCTTCAGTAAGATTTGTCCTGGTTTTATATTCAATCATTGATTCGGGCAAAGTGAATTCTGGCATCTCAAGACTAGGCTTTAAGGTTCCTGATTAAGATCGATTTATGGCCGATGTCAGAAGTAACAGAAAAACATAGATATGAGAAAATTTCACAAGCAAAAAATCAACTCAACTTTTACCATAAGATAAGATTAATCCTTTCCTAATGAAAAGAAAGTTTAAAACACTTGCAAAAGTTCAGATAATGGAGTGCAAACACACCAGAAACTGTGCAAAAATGCCAAGAAATCAGGAAATTATTTGAACAAAAAAAAAATCAAGAACTAATGTGAAAATCTAAGAATATAAAGATAATCTAATTGATCAGACGAGATTCTATAGAGAAAAACTTCACAGTAATCACATTTTATGTTCAAGAACAAGTTTACACTATAAACTGATCAAGAACTTAATTGCAACAAAAGAGAACACTATTTCAAGAAAAACACTGAAAATAATCAACAGCATGAAAAGAATCTAAGATAACTGAATACTAGCTACCTTTTCTTTTCAGGATGTCTTCACCATCTTTCTTCTTATCAAGATCATCCCCATCATCATCATCATCATCATCATCATCATCATCATCACCACCATCATCACCATCCTCACTCTCATGACAACTTTCTTGAGTTGGTGCCTCCATCAATTTAAAAACAATTTCGTAGGCAGCAGCATCATTCTCAAGTACATCACGCAGTGCCTTTGCCAATTTTGAAAATAGTCCGAAAGGGATGAAGTTATCTTCATGCGGAGAGGGATCAATTAGTGAATGTCAGAAATAACAGAAAATCATAGATGAAAAGAAAATTTTGACCGAAAATTTAATCAACTTTTATCACCAGTTTCAGACTAATCCTTTCCTGATGAAAAGAAAGCTCAAGAAAACTTGCAGGAGTTTGGACAATGGAATGCGAACACACAAGAAATAATACAAAAATGCTAAGAAATCAGGAAATTATCTAAACAAACAATAATAACAATAAATCAAGAACTAATGTGATAACCTAAAGAATTTAAACATAATCAAATTGAGAAGAGATTTTATGGAGAAAATCATCAAATTTTACGTGATGAACAAGTCTACATCGTTCACTGATCAAAAAAATATATCAGAACTTAAAGAAAATCGTAACAAAAAGGAGCAAAAATTCAGGAAAAAAGCGAAATTGTCAAGAACATCAATTGTTATTCAGCAAAACATCCTAGACAATTGAATAGCGTCTTTCTTTCAAGAAGTCTTTACCCTTTCGAGTCTTTCTGTGGTACAAGTAAGTCACTATAACCTCCGCTAAGTTTACAAGCTTGATCTGTTTCTCCAGAGTAGCAGCCTCATCCATAACTTCATCCATCTTCCACGCGGTCAGTTCGATCCTGCAGCTAGTCTTCATCTCCAAAGGGATGAAGTTATCTTCACGAGGAGGCGGATTCACATTTCGGTGTCTGTAAACTGACGGACTACTGCTCGATGATTCTTGATGGCGAGCAGCCTCAGCTTGGACTCTGGCAGCGGTCCTCTGATCCCTTTCATTTTTCTTGGCTGCTTCCTTCTCTCTCCTCTCTTTTTGCTCTCTTGCCATTTTCTCCTCTGCAGCTCGAAGATCCCAGTTCGTTGTTGCTCTGTATTGCCTTTCTGAATGAAGCTTTGTTTTTGTCTAAGTTATTGAGGTATAAAGACGAAATGCTTCTCTCTGAGAAATGGGTCTACACAAAATAGGTGGTCAGCTGGTAAATAGAAGTATATATACTTGTTAATGAGTTATAGGCTTAACTTGTTGTTTGGCAACAGGTTAAATAAGAAGCAAAGGAGAGAGATTTAATTAATGATCACATACGAAATATGAAGTAAAATGAGTTGTTTGTATTAATTATAAAGATAATATGAAAACAAGAAGATAATTCTTGTAGATGGATTAAATCTTCTACTTAATGTATTATTTAGCCATTTATTTTTATGTTTGATAAATTAAGACTGCTTGATCTATTTCATTCACTCTGTGTTTCTTTTCTTTATTATTATTATTATTATTATTATTATTATTTATTTTTGTATGTTTGGAAAAAGTGTAAAAGGGATTTACTCTCTTTCATCACTCCTTAAGTTGGTTGATAAACTACTATACACTGCAAGCATTATTACTACTTTTTTCCATTTAAACGTTGTGTGTGAATATAATTCTTAATTTATTGGAAAGAGTTTGAAAGAGTAATGGATTTAAAGGGAAAGAATCATGGTATGTTTGTTGTAAGTCCTATGTTTAAAGAATCATCATATATCCAGTCCAAGTAATTTTGTTGATCATATGGGTAATTGTCAGCAATTAATTCTCGATTAATGCTAAACTAACTAGTCACCTACGTTTGGGTTCTTGATTATCAGAAAGAAGATTGAAGGAAGGGGCCACGTTTTCTTACACGTAAAAGGAAATGGAGGAATAAGAAGACTGCTAGCTATATAAAACTGTTGGTTTCGAGAGTGTAGATCCAAACCTGGATCAAAATTAGCAAAGCTGAAAAACTCAGCATCGGTCGAGTGAAGGGCATGGACCGGTCAACCGAATCGACTGCAGGAAATAGTTAGAAAAACTTCGCGCTGGTCGGTCGACCGATTCAGTGCTATCAGTCGACCGATAGTGATAAATCAGTCGACTGATGCAAGGGTACCAGTCGACTGATAATATGCACGAAGAATCCTGCAGAAAACAACTTCTGGTCGGTCGACCGACGCCAATGCATCGGTCGACCGATGTCGGATTTTCTAGTTTCCCAGTTCGGGTTGGAAATTGTTTTGGGCTGGGATACTATATATACCTTGAACGTTTTAGGGTTTAAATATATACACGGAAAAGAGGGGTTTTGAGAGGACTTTGAGAGAGAAATCTCAGAGAGAGAAAAGCCTATTTGCAAGCATTGTAATCTTCTTCAATTAATCAAATAATTCATGGTGTGGCTCCCGAGGACAAAGACACGTTTGCCGAACCTCGTTATAAAATCCGGTGTTCTCCTGTTTTAGTTGTTCTTTGCTGCAAGTTTTTTTTTATTTGCTGTGATTTCTTACTTGCTTATTCTTGACATAAGATCCGGAAGGACACGGGTTATCGTTTGTGTGTTCAACCCTAATAATTGGTATTAGAGCTTCGTTCGGAAAAAGTTTGTGTTTTGAAAGAGATGGCAGAAGAGAACAAATCAAAGATTGAGAAGTTTAACAGATCAGCCTTTGCCTACTGAAAGTCGCAGATAGAGGACTATCTATACCAGAAGGATCTTTACTGTCCGTTGATTGGCAAAGCTAAGGGAAAGAAGAAAGAGGAATCTGACGAGGACTGAGAGATACTGGATCAGAAGGTCCTAGGGCAGATTCAGTTGTCGCTCCCTAAATTAGTCACCCATAATATTTTGAAGGAGAAGACGACGGTGAAGCTTATGAAAGCGCTCACGAAGATGTACGAGTAACCGTCAACCGCAAATAAGATGCATCTCGTCAAGACACTTTTCAACCTCAAAATAACAAAAGGATACTCCTTCACGTTGCATCTCAGCGAGTTTAACACAATCATTGATCAATTTATCTCCGTCGACATCACGTTTGATGACGAAGTGCATGTCCTATTGATTCTACCGCAATTGCCAGATAGTTGGGCTGGTTGCGTGACAACAATTAGCAACTCAGCAGGGAAGAAGAAGTTAAAGCTGAGCGAGCTTATTAGTATGATTCTATCCAAGGAGGTTAGAAGGAAGTCGTATGAATCAGAAGGTTTAGGTTCAGCCCTAAATCTCGAGCAGAGAGTCGAAGCCAGAAGAAGGGTAACCAGAACAAGAATCGATCAAAATCAGAAAAGAAGAGGTCGAACTCAAATGTTAGGCCTATCAAAGGAAAGTGTTGGAACTGCGGTCATGAGGGCCACATGTCTTCAGTCTACAAAGCGCTAAAGAAGGATGTGAATGAGCAGGAGGCTCATATCGTGCAAGATGCATTGATCCTTGCTATGGATAGCGACTCCAACTCATGGGTTATTGATTCAGGAGCCTCATTCTACGCCACTGCTAATAGGAAGCTTCTTCAAAACTATGTAGCATGGGACTTTGGAAAAGTATATTTGGGGGACAACGTGTAGGGTCCTGTTTTTGCTTATGTATATCAAGTATAGGTGATAAACATGAATATTATCTATATTTTGACTATGTTTCACCTACGGATTCATTGTTATTTGATGTATTTTCTTGCATTTTGGCCATGTTAAGCTCCCTAGTTCTTGTTTACTGCTCTATTTATATATTGTGTAGGAATTACTGGAGCTTAGCGCGGATTCGGAGTCAAGAAGGAGTCAAGGAATGCAAGGAAAGTGGCTACACGGTCACCCAGTGTTCAACAACACAGGCGTGTTGATTACAGAAGAAAAGCCCAGAAAGCAGAGCGAAACAGAATTAAACACGGCTTGGTCGTATCGATCTGCACAGCCATGTTGGTTAACAGCAGTCAGTTATCATGCGATCTGGAGCAATATTTGAAGTTATCTTTCAACACGTTGTTCCCAGAATTAAAAGGGAGACGCCCTGAAGCACCTGACCAGGGACCAGAGGCTGGAGATCTTGATTTTTCTTTCTTCTTCTTCTCTTCTTCTCTCTAAAAACTCTTAGATTAGGTTTTCTTTTGATTTGGAACCTGCTGTTTGTGGAGAATTGTGTGCAACTTCAACACTACGGTTTATCTTTCTGATCTATCTCATTTTTTAGTTTATGATTATGATCTTATATATTGTTATCATGCGTTATATTTCAATTATGTGTGAGTAATTGTCTTATCTGGGATTGAACTAGGTTCGGCCATGGTTATGAATTAATGAACTGATTGTTGTTGTTATTAACTGTTCAATTTGCATTATTCAATTACTAGTATCTAATTGCCTAGGGTTAATTCAATTGGCCACTGATTTAATTCTTTTAGGATGTTGATTTGAACTGAAAGGTTAGATTGACGCCGGAAAATAGTAATTGAACAAGAATTAATTGATCACGAAAGTAGGTTAATTATTCTTGAGAACATGAGGGATTAACAAGAACTTAATGGGTTTAATTTGGTTTAGCACCATGAAAATAGGTTGCTTAGGCTGAATTAGGCACGACTTTTAGTTGTCGAAAGAGACTAATAGTTATCATAGGTTAGTCGTTCTTAATGCATTAAGAGATTCGATAACAATTGATTAATTGCGGATTTGAGTGAACAAGTTTTTGACGCCGTTGTCGGGGACTTCGGCATTGTTAATATTGACTTTTTCATTGTTTGACTAGACTAGACATTTTCTTTCATTTATTTTGTTTTTATTTTTCCTCTCTTTTCGTTTGACTTATTCTTTTTTTTAGTGCAGGCACCCTTGTATGCCCAGATCCTTACGACTTGGAGAACCAATCGAGTGTGATCCCGAGATTGAAAGGACCTTGCGTCATATTAGGAAGAAGGCACGAGAAACAAAGGATAATTTGAAAAGCAAAAACACCATGGGAGACCTAGAAAACCAATGCAATCAAGACCGATCCTTGAGTTTGCATCACCAACCACCCATAGCTCCCAATCTAGCATCTTGAAGCCTAATGTTGCTGCCAACAATTTTGAACTCAAGCCTTCGCTCCTCTCCATGGTTCAGCAAAACCAATTTGGAGGCACTCCAACCGAAGACCCAAACCTCCACATTTCAATCTTTCTGGAGTATTGTGACACCTTAAAGATGAATGGAGTGTCGGATGATGCAATCAAACTAAGGTTGTTTCCCTTCTCATTAAGAGACAAGGCAAGGGCTTGGCTACAATCACTTCCACCGGGCTCCATCACTACATGGGACCAACTCTCAGAAGCGTTCCTTGCTAAGTACTTCCCTCCGAGCAAAACAACCCAATTGAGAAATCAGATAACAACCTTCACTCAAAAAGAAGGGGAGTCATTGTATGATGCATGGGAGAGGTACAAGGATCTTCTAAGGATGTGTCCACATCACGGGTTGGAGGATTGGCTCATAATTCACACTTTCTACAACGATCTTCTCTACAACACAAGGATGACCGTAGATGCTGCAGCGGGTGGTGCATTGATGAACAAAAGTGTACGAGATGCAAAACAACTCATAGAAGATATGGCACAGAACCATTTCCAATGGTCAGGTGAGCGCTCTTTACCCAAAAAGAGCGGGAGGTATGATGTAGATGCATTAGACCATATTGCTTCTAGAGTAGATGCTTTGACAAGATGAGCATGAATTCAGTAGCATCTAACTCTACTAACTGTGAAATATGTGGTATCATTGGACATTCTGCTGTGGAATGTCAGATTGGAAACTCCTCTTCCCCTGATGCACCATTATCTGAACATGTTAATTATATGAATAATTTTAATCAGAAAGGGGACCCTTTTTTCAATACATACAACCCGGGGTGGAGAAATAATCCTAATTTATCCTATAAAAATCCACCCCTGAACCCGATTCCTCACTCAAATTTTCGACCTCCAGGTTTTCAAACCCCTAGACTCCCTTACCCTAGTCCCCAAAAGTCCAACTTAGAAAGCTTGATGGAAAATTTCGTGACATCCCAGAATAAGCAAAATGAAGAATTTAGAAATCAGAATAGGATCATGAATGATGCCATTAAGAACCTAGCCTCTAAAGTTGACTCCTTAGCCACCCACAACAAAATGCTAGAGAATCAGGTCACTCAACTAGCCCAACAATTTAACTCTTCTTCTAGGTCCTTGGGTATGTTTCCTGAACAACCTGAAACCAACCCCAAGGAATCTATCAATGCCATTACACTTAGGAGTGGAAAAGAGCTAGAGACACCAATGATGAGGAGTGATCATAGGGATGTGGGTGATGAGAGTGAGAAGTTGGTGACAAGTGAGAAAGAGCATATTGGTGAGAAAGGGGAGAAGGTTGAGAGATATGTAGCACCTGCACCTTATAAGCCTCCACTACCCTTCCCTCAAAGGCAAGTTAAAGCTAAGTTGGAAAAACAGTTTGGGAAATTCATAGAAATCCTTAAAAAATTGCATATTAACATCCCATTTGTTGAAGCCATTTCCCAAATGCCATCCTATGCCAAATTCTTAAAGGAGATTCTATCAAATAAGAGGCGATTAGAGGAATATGAGACTGTAGCCTTGACCCAAGAGTGTAGTGACATCATACAAAATAAGCTACCACCTAAGCTTAAAGATCCTGGCTCATTTTCAATCCCTTGCACAATTGGTGATATGTCAATTAATCGTGCTCTATGTGATCTCGGTGCTAGTGTCAGTCTTATGCCATTGTCTATATGTAACAAGTTACAGATGGGAGACTTGAAGCCTACTACTATCTCCCTCCAATTGGCGGATCGATCGGTTAAACGTCCGGTAGGTATATTAGAGGATGTACCTATCCAGGTTGGTAAATTCTACATCCCGGTTGATTTTGTTATTCTTGAAATTAAGGAGGATTCTCAAATCCCCATTATATTGGGAAGACCTTTCCTTGCTACCGCTGGTGCGATAATTGATATGAAGAATGGAAAGCTCTCTCTCAATATAGGGGATGAACAGGTGAATTTTGATTTGTTTTCTACTACGAAGTTTCCACTAATTGATGATACTTGTTGCAGGATTGACACGATTGACATGGTGGCTAGAGAAGATTTTACCAGAAATATCTCAAGTGATCCACTTGAGAAATGTTTAGTAAAGAATGGGGTACCAGATGATGATGATCAGGAAATAACTTCCTATATTACAATGCTTGATGAAAGCCCCAACTACACCAAAACCACCTACAGCAAGGAACCTGATATAGTGGTCGAAATTGCAAGGGGGCTGAATGACCAGGTTGTGTCTGTAAACACAGCTATGTCAAAAAGCAGCAGAAACAGCCCATAACAGGTTTGTGAAGAGAAAACTGCACCTGGGAAGATGCTGAATAATGATTCTACACGGCCATGGTGTGTCCGTAGACACAGTCGTGTCAAAAAGCAGCAGAAGAAGTCTAGAACCAGTCCATCTCCACCAGTTGAAGTGGAACATAAGGCACATTGGGCTATCAAGAGCATTCATTTAGAGTTGAAAGAATCAGGGGAACAGAGAAAGCTTCAACCAAATGAACTTGATGAATTGAGATTGGATGCGTATGAGAATGCCAAGATTTACAAAGAAAGAACAAAGAAGTGGCATGATCAACATATCCTCCGTAAAGAGTTTACAGAAGGGGACCTGGTACTTTTGTTTAATTCTCGACTCAAGCTTTTTCTGGGAAAACTTCGTTCGAGGTGGTCTGGACCATTCCAAGTGCGTAAAGTATACCCATTTGGGGCTGTCGAAGTATAGAGTGAAGCCACGGGAACCTTCAAGGTCAATGGACATCGATTAAAGCATTATTTCACAGGAACTCTGATCGAGAAGTTGGGTACTTTTACCCTTCCCGATTCATCATCATTGTGAGCATTGAAGGGGTCAAGCTCATGACCATAAACAAGCGCTTCTTGGGAGGCAACCCAAGTTTTCATTGTGAGCATTGAAGGGGTCAAGCTCATGACCATAAACAAGCGCTTCTTGGGAGGCAACCCAAGTTTCTCTTTCATTTTATTTTTACTTTTAGTTTTTTTTAAATTATTAGTTTTCATGACATGTAATCAAGTTTCCGTGAACTAGTGTGTAGGTGAATGACAAAAGGAAAATAGGTAACAGAGAGTTCAAGGCTAAAGAGGACAGAAGGAAAAATAGTGAATACACAGTTTACACGGCTCGGCCGTGTCCACCAACACAGCTAGGCCGTGTCCACCAACACAGCCGTGTAGCAGTCGGGACAGTCTTCATCTCATTTCCAGAGTCTACTCGGTCGACCGCCACCAATCCTGAAGCCCAATAACTCCTGTGCACGAATGCGGTCGACCGGGCCGGTCGACCGCCACCCAATTCTGCTGAAACCCGAACTTTCTGCCAATTCTACACCCCCCCTTACAAACCACCACCGACTGACCACCCCACCTCTTCGAGCAAACAGCCGCATCCCTTCCCTTCACCATCCTAAACCACCGTCCTCTTTCATCCTTCACCATCAAAATCGCCGACTCACAACTTCCCCAAAACCACTTCCCTCCCCAACTTTAATTCCACCACTCAACACTTCCGCCTCTCTCTCATTCATCACATCCAACACCACCAAATCGCCAGGCGTGCCTCCAGCGCCAAGACACCGCCCTTGTCGTTACGCCCAGAGCAACGCCAACATTCATAGACCAAATTCTTTCATTCAACATCTGAAACTTCCAGATCTGTTCTCATCATGGACACCCGCTTGGACAATTTTGGCAATACACTTGGAACAATGAATGACCAGAAGCAACATATGCACCAATGGTCACTACTTCATGTCTATCCACCTCCTCCACCACCACAATGAGCAGTACGTCCCTTTTCTTTTTTTTTTCAGTTATTTACACATTTGGGACAATGTGCAATTCAAGCATGGGGGAGTGAGTTGGTTTGTTGGGATGATGTTTCATGTATGCTTTGGTGTTTTTGAGTGCTTGTTTTATGTGTTGGGATTTTTCATTTAGCTTTTAAAAGAAAAAGAAAAAAAGAAAAGAAAAAGAGTACCACTATTTGAAAACTCTTCTAACACGTGCATCATTTATTTCACATGCCCCATTGTAAAACAAAAAAAATCTTTGTTTCATGTTCAGTTGGTTAGGATGTTATCTGTTCGAGTTCCACTTTGTCGAATACTTAACTCTAAACATTGGAGAGATAGGAATGGATTTTGGCTCAACCCATCTAATTAAAACCTAAGCTTCTTTGGTGACTTGGAATACTTTTAGGTTACTGGAGAAACACTCGGCCTTGTATAAAAAAAAAGTCCTAAAGTCTGTTGCACCGAGTACCTAGCACCGCACCCTCAGAAGTATGGCTGTCACGTCAGTAGGTGTTAACTATGACGGGATTTTCAAAAAAAAATTGAATAAATAAATAAAATGCAAGGAAACCGAGTGCTCCTTTGAGACCTTAAGCAGGAAGAGTATGACCCATTGTGATGAGATATGTGTCTGTCACGAGGAGTTTTGGGCAATCAACTAAAAAATTTTAACTTTGTCATGCCATTTCTTTTTCCAACGTTTATGAGTCGAGTCACTTGCACTACTGTACATGAACGCCTACAGATACATTTTCTTCAACTTTGAACTTGAGACAAGATTTCTATTTTGACATTGAGTTGAGTGGAATAATGTTGCATGTGAACTAGAGAATAGTGGATACCTTTGTGCTTAATTTCTATTTTCTTTGAATCTGTACCCTCTCATGTGTGTGTTTCCATCTGTTTTGCTTGAAGACAAGCAATAGTTCAAGCATGGGGGAGTTGATAAACATGAATATTATCTATATTTTGACTATGTTTCACCTACAGATTCATTGTTATTTGATGTATTTCCTTGCATTTTGTCCATGTTAAGCTCCCTAGTTCTTGTTTACTTCTCTATTTATATATTGTGTAGGAATTACTGGAGCTTAGCGCGGATTCGGAGTCAAGAAGGAGTCAAGGAATGCAAGGAAAGTGGCTACACAGTCACCCAATGTTCAACAACACAGGCGTGTTTAGATTAGGTTTTCTTTTGATTTGGAACCTGCTGTTTGTGGAGAATTGTGTGCAACTTCAACACTACGGTTTATCTTTCTGATCTATCTCAATTTTTAGTTTATGATTATGATCTTATATATTGTTATCATGTTTTCTATTTCAATTATGTGTGAGTAATTGTCTTATCTGGGATTGAACAAGGTTCGGCTGTGGTTATGAATTAATGAACTGATTGTTGTTGTTATTGACTGTTCGATTTGCATTATTCAATTACTAGTATCTAATTGCCTAGGGTTAATTCAATTGGCCACTGATTTAATTCTTTTAGGATGTTGATTTGAACTGAAAGGTTAGATTGACGCCGGAAAATAGTAATTGAACAAGAATTAATTGATCATGAAAGTAGGTTAATTATTCTTGAGAACATGAGAGATTAACAAGAACTTTAATTTGGTTTAACACTATGAAAATAGGTTGTTAGGCTGAATTAGGCACGACTTTTAGTCGTCGAAAGAGACTAATAGTTATCATAGGTTGGTCGTTCTTAATGTATTGAGAGATTCGATAGCAATTGATTAGTTTATTGATTCGAACCAGAGTTGAAACCGAAGTTCAATCCTAGATCCTTTTAATTGAGTGAATTCGTCATTGATACTAGCTAGCGTGTTTGATATTGATAATCAAAAATCATACTTTTTAACACAATTGGTTTAGATAGTCACAAAACAGTGAAAATCAGTAATTAACAACGAAGTCCCTGAGGATACGACCTTGCATCGCTACAACGATATCCATGCACTTGCGGATTTCAGTGAACAATAGGATCGTGACCCTTAAGAATAGAGTGCGCTCTTATGAAAATTTGCGAAAGCTTTACACTTAAACACTAGAGGGTTAGTTTGCAAAGTAGATTATAAATTACAAAGAAAGAATGACAATCTCAGAAAATAAATATCACAAACACAAGCATGTATACTGGTTTCACCTCCCTGGTGTACATCCAGTCCCTAAGCAAATCCCGCTTGAGAGTTTCCATTATAATTTTAAAACCTTACAAAATAAAAAACAAACCTGACCAATTTACAAGACCATGCAAATTGTAAACCTAATTGGTAAGACCATGATAATTGTTAAACTGACCTCTAGACCAAGAGATCAACCCATCTCATAAACCAAGAGAACCTTTCTTTGAAGCAATGTATAATTCCAATCCTATAAGCCTTGATGTGGATGTGAACGTATAACAATGGCTTATCAATCTTTTTAACTCTCTCAATATTGCCTAAACAAGCTCTAAGAATGATAGGAACAAAGGCAATATCAGAAACTCTCTTTTATGGAAAAACAGATCAAAAAATTAAAAGTTTAGAAAGTCAATTTGCACAATATGTGAATCTTACAAGTGCAAAACTTGGTGCTTGTCTCCTGATGTTTAAACCTATTTATAGTATCTGAAATAACATGATTTTAAACCCAATTAACGTCCACAAAACGGCTATAAACAGTCACTTATTCAAAACCTAAAATCTAAAAAAACTACATCTGTAGTTGACTACAAGTCATAGTAGTCGACTACACTGAGTCTAAACATTCTCTGTGAAGTCAGAAAATTGCTTAGTAGTCGACTACGAGGCATAGTAGTTGACTACACTGAAAACTCACAGATTCTGAAATTTTCTTTTTAGTATTTTAGCTGTAACTTTCTCATCCGATATCAGAATGAGGTGATTTAAGATTTGTTAGAAAGATCTTAAAGAGACCTACAACTTTGATTTTTTGAGTTTTTATAGATTCTAATTGCTAATGGGTATAAATGAAATATTTTAAGACTTACTCAATATCTATAAACTCTAATGGCTAACATATGAGATTTCTATTGTTAACCAACACGCTAAGCATGTGTTAGTGTATTCTAAAACTATGTGTGTGTATGTGTGTGAGTGATCAAGGCTTGTACAAATTTCTAAGCAAAGAAAATATAAAATTACATTTTGACAATAAAGTATTTCTTCTTCTTTGCTTTATTTTACCTTGAACTCATCTATATCTTAAGTATCTCTTTGAATATAATTGTTGATATAGCTCTGATACTACAAAACAAATTTAGTACATAATATAAACAACATATAATATCTGTTATCATCAAAATAAACTAATCTTGGGGTCAAGATTCGTAACATTTCCCCCTTTTTGATGATGACAAATATATGTTATTAAGATATAAAAATTTTAACCCCCTGCATAAAATCATTAAATAAAATCTTTCACTCCCCTTGCATCAAAGCAATAGTAAAAAATTTAAAATTTTCTATATAACCCCCCCTTTGTCATTAACAAAAAAAATAAAAAATAAAAATAAACATTATTCTAGTTAAATTTTTTTTTTCCGGGGTACCTTAAATAAAAATATTAAGCACTTTGGTACCTTTTTTATATTATATCATTAGGATTAGCCCTTAGGAATCCAAATCCACTTGGAATTTGGTTTCCATTTATTAACATAAGTGTAATTTTTTGAATTGCAAACTTCGCATACATATAAGATAAAATATAATCATTCCTATCATGAATATTCAAATTCTTAGAAATCCATATATACTTATTTTGTTTAGCATGAATATTCTTATTATTATTCTTCAAAACATAATCATTCTTTGTAAAATATTTAGGAACAAATCTAATACCAAAATGATTGTTTGAAGATTTTTAAATGAGAGCAAATTATTCAAATTTTCTTTACTTTTATTGAATT